AGATTTCTTCATTGGTGGTTCCTCAGCCTCCACCTCATCCTCAGTAGATCTAATAACGACCAAGGGTTGGGCATCTTCGGCTTTCTTTTTTAACGCCTCAGCCCTCCGTGTCTCCTCCTCAGTCATGGGGAAACTGTCAAAGGATGGTAGAGACAGATCCATGAGGTCTGCAGCAACAGCACTGGAGGCAATGTTCTTGAGGTTTGAAGAAGTTAGCAGGTCCTCGATAGGCGAGGGGTCACTCCAGACTCGTTCCTCAAGAAAAGAAAGTCTGTTCCTTGCTGCGGAGGATGGGAATGTAGCTAAAAAAACACCAAGAAACTCATAAGTACGGCAAAACATTAAGACTTGGCAAGGAAAACAGTCAGAACACTTGGTATGAAGGGAGGTTAAGTATTCTATACCTAATTTCCCGAACTTGCGCGGGATGGGGAGCGTAATTGATTGGGGCACGAACCATTTTCCTTTAACTATAACCATCCTTTCTTTCCACTTCTTTTCGGATGAAGGAAGGTTCGTGCATATCCTCTGATGAAGGGGAGAGGTAAAAAAGAAGCGACCAGGCTCGGTCCCATACTTAGATATATTGTAAGTAAGCAGAAGGTCGGCAAGGGTCAAATCCAGAGCCTCTAATTTCCTGCGCACCAACAGTGCCGAAAGGATGCGAAATAAATTAGGATTTACCTGAAGGGGGGCAAGACCTAACTTGTTGAAAACTAAATGATAGAAGGGATGAAGAGGGAATCAGAGGGCGTTAAGATGCCCTACCGAAAGAAGCAATTCATTCTCCTCAATTCCCTCGCCGGAGGTAAAATCGGCACCCTCGGGATATTCTGCAATTTCTACTCCCTCAGGAATATCAAATTATTCCATTACCGAAGCAATAGAGAACTTGATGCGGCGAATAGAGATGATTGCTTTCCTCTCTTCATGAGTGAGAACATAATCAGAGCCTGAGATGGATGTCTCGGCTGGAAGGGGGGAAGTGCCTAATGGATTCAACGAAAGACGATCTGTAGAAACCCTAGGAGGGGGAGCCCTAATGCGAACGGGGGAAGATGAAGGTGTGGATTCAGAATCCCCAATGTCTATACGTTCGGGAGTAGATGGAGTACTCATAATGAAAGATTGAATAGAAAGATGCGAAACTAACCTGACAAAGCGATGGAATGAAGAACGCAGAAATGCAGCAAGGGCGAATGTAACTCTTGCAAAATCTTGTATGACGGAGTAATAATGAAAGACCTCGAACCGTTTCTGAAGCAAAGTAAAAAACCGGTTTCAATTCCCTCTTTAATAGGAGCCGTCACTCAATTAAAAATGAAATTTGGGGCAAAGTGTGGAGAGAAAAAAACTCCCTCCAATAAAAAGCGCACACGTCACCACTACACATATCTACATTCCAAGGACATATAAAGCCCATCATGCTCAAGCCCAAATTGAGGGTATTTACAGCCCAAGACCATTGTTATTTGTCCTCCAACCTGCATCAAGGCCGAATCAAGAGGTCATCAGCCGAACTTGTTAATATTTAACATCCGGTCCATTACTCAAGCCCAGCAGGATCAAAATATGTTCAGCCCAGTTATTCAAGAATGCACAAGTCCTACCAGTTGAAGGATTTACCGTAGAAGGAAAATTCTGAGATAGGAAGTTCTGTACAAGGCAAGTTCTATGTATGGAAAATTAGATAATGGAAAGAACTCTATTAGTAAAGAATGTTTATATAGAAAGAATTTGAGGAATTTGAGGGCAAGCAACGCGAGTCCTACCATAATTTTACAATCTTTTGTATATAAATAGAGGCTAAGAACTCCAATAAAGGGATCAAGCAATTCTATGCTTCTCTATACACTGTTCTTATTTATTCTTATTGTTTTTTGAGTGTGTTGTTCTATTTTTCTCAATCATTATTGGTTGAGTGAAATTTTGCACCTACACTCATATTTGACCCAATTACTTATAAGTAAGGCTGACAATTTATGCCCAAACCCACCGATCCATCCAAATTTTAGAGTGATTTAAGTAAGCAGGTCATAGCCAAATCAGTTGGCAAGAAATGGTATAATTAATGAGTTGAGAGTCGGGTCTAAACAAAAATTAAGTCACCAAAACATAAACTTGCAATTTTTCTCTCTAAAACATTTGCTCTCTCTGTCCACGTAATTTTCAAGTTCACTGTTCATCCCACACCTCCCTCTTTCGCTCTCTTCTTGTAGTTTTTTTTGTGTGTGTGTGAATACGAGCAAATCGGACCATAATTTTCCTTTTGTAATTTAGGAATGAATGAATAAAAAAATGTCGTGCTGACCGTTTGGATGCGATTGAGATGTAACATTTGGTTTACAATTCTATATCTCTTTTAGGTTTATGCAGAGAGGCAGAAGAAAGTTACTGAAAAAAAGGTTTTTCTATCACATGACTCAATTAATTAATGCGGGAGCTTGTGCATGCGTGTGTATTTTATATAGTTGTAACTTGTAAGTATGTCCAACATTTTTTTAATTATCAATTCCGTATGTGGTTCCCTATAATTGATCATTTATATAAATGGCGGACAATACTTACAACTACATAATTTCAATGCAACGAAGATGATAAAAATAATAAAAAATGTATTAATTATATGTTACCTTCGTTTCAAATTAGATGTCCTATTTGGAGAACCGTAACTCACAATTAGATATCCTGTTTGGATTGTGAGTCACGGTTCTCCAAACATGACATTTTTTTTTTTGAGACAGTGAGAGTATATATATTCAGAAACAGTGGTCGAATCACATAACATTTCCTTGCTTTCTTAATTTTTTTTTTTTTTTTGTAAAAATCAAGTTAACTTGCCCGATTAATACTCCATCCGTCCAAGTAAGTCACTAACGAGTTAATAACCGATTACTGATCAGACCGTTCATGACCCATTCCAAACCCGCCCAAATATCACCCCTAACTTAAAAGCATCCCAATAATGATAGATTCTTCAATATCGTTAAAGCAAAATGGATGGATCTGATTTATGCACAAAGGAAGAATAAAGTGGAGGGAGAGAGTGGCACACCGATGTGATCTAAAAAAGATGCATATTCCACATTAATGGTGGACAAGGAATCGATCGTAGCAAGTTGTTGGTTGTTTAAAGTAAGGATGAGAATTGGAGAGAGCGACTCCCATCATGATATTGCTCCTTCACCAAATCAAATGAAATCATGTTGCTTGAGTCCGTAAACTGAATATTAGGATTTTCTAACAAAATCAAATTTGCTTTGCTTCAGTTTGCATCATTCAAGCATTCTATTCACAAATAGGACACCAAGGACTACAGCAAAGTAGCACTCCCTCCTCTTCGTTTCAATTTCTCATAAGGTTACATTATATGAGTGTTTGAGTTTTTTTTTGACAAAAATAAAAATAAATTAATAATTTATAAACAAGATTATTTCTTTTGATATGTATACAACATGAATAATGATAGGGGAACCGAAAAGGAATCACCGAATAAATTTGACGTGGTTGACCATTCTTATTATGTGTTAAGCAATTATTTTTAGAAGCTGTTTAAGTAGATGAGGTGGACAAAAATTCGTCAGATTCTATACTTATTCGGGGTTAATTCATCGGTCTCCCTATCATTATTCATACAACATTATTGGAGCTTGGGTACATCTCTAGAATTTTTTAATACCATATTTTTTTTAGTGGAGTATCAAACTTTATTTTTATTTTTTTGTCATTGGCAAAAAACTCACACACACATACACTGACACGCCACTCATCACCGTCCATTTTAAGAGATAAAAGAAATATTACTGGATCACAAAGACCTTAATAAACTTGTATTGTTGTTGACGGGTATTCAAGTTCTTAAATAAAATAGTAATTGAAAAGGTCAATCAAATTTTGATTTAAAAATATATTAAACAATGTATAAAATAATTAAAAAATGTTTAAACTTTTATAAGTGGTATGTGTATATATATATATATAAAAGGTAGTGCTACACACCAAATAGTACCTTAAAATTGATTCGAAGTGTGCCAACGTCACTATTAACCTTATGCAATTTTTTTTCCCCCTCGAGCATAAGAACCCCCACGCCCATCATTTTCATGTGTATTATTTGATAAAAATTTCATGGTTTCAATTAGAACTGTCAATTTCTTTCACTTTATTATATTGTTAATGAAAAACGAAATGATTCATTCAACAACTTGAAAATTTAAAAGAGCATTTTTATATGAGATTAAAATAAGAATAATATTATAGAATGATAATCAATTATGAAATATATGTCAAATCTTTAAGATGAATTTTTAATCAATCCGAGAGAAAATTTATGTGATCAACTCCATATTTATATGGGATTAAAATAATGATGATGACGACTAGCACGAGGACAATAATAACATAAATATATCTGTGAACTTGAACCCCTAAAGCTAAATCCGCACAAGAAAAGAGTAATAGAGCGAACCAACTTATCAAAATGATGCTGTTGAAAATGGTGCATCTGCTTGGTGATTTGAGAAAATTGAAACCCTTCTTTTTGAATCATCATAATACTTTCTAAAAGTCGATCAAAAAAGAATGAATGTCATCATTTTTGTTCAATAAAAGATAGCTAGGTGTACCATTTTTGGGAGGACGAGGCGGGACCATGTGAGTAGTAGTAAATTTACTGCACATGACACAAAGTAGTACTAAATGGAGTACTAAATGTAATTTTAAAATATATTATGAGCCGATAAGGAAATAACATAAAGTTTTAAACACTGTTTTTTCTCAACCAAGCCCGAGGCCCAAATCACGCTTTCTGCTTTCCCAAAACACCATCGTTGCTCCACAGCCACCCTAGACTCAGGCTTTGCAGGGCCGGCCCTGGCCCAAGGCGACCAAGGCCGTAGCCTTGGGCCTCAAATTTTAGAGGGTTGAGGCCCATAGGGGATGGAAAAAACAAAAAATAAATAAATAATTTAGGGCAAGTCTTGGCCGTCGCCTTGGGCCTCAAATTCTATAGGGCTCAAAATTTAAGTTAGGGCAAGTTTTTGAGACGACACAGTCTACTTCGACACTCCGCAGGACGCAGCCCTCCGCTATCTCCTCAGGCTCAGGTGACACCGTGACAAGGTGTGTTCATTCTCTCTCTCTCTTCTCTATCCTTTTGCATGAATCGATCTTTTTTGTTTCCTCACCCTAAGTCCACTCCAGTCTCACAACAGCAGCAACCACACCCCTTTTTCTCGTAATTTTTTGCATTTTCGCATTCAATCCTACGAAAATTAAGGATCCCTTCTAGTGGGTTGAGGACCTGAGGTAATAATTAACTTTTTCGATCTCTAAATTATGATCATACTTAAATGTGCCAAATTAATGGTTTTTATTTATTTATTTATTTTATTTTATAAGAAGATACATACCACCATTATTGATGTTATTTGAAGTTGGCTCAGCTAGAATTTCAGTTAATAATACTGTTACAGGCTCAAAGCACTTGCAATCAGAATGTACAAACACATGGAAATCAAGAGCAGGCTTTAACAAAACAAAAGTTAATGGTTTTTTCTATCAATTTGCACAGGTCTTCTGTAGCAATGATCAATCAATCACTGCTACTAAAGTTGATTCCTCATCCTGAAATCAAGAAAGGGGTAATTGGCTCCCAATAAAAACACACACAAAGCTCCAGTTAAAACTCCAGCCAGGAGATCATTCGACCTAACTGCTTGATTTTAGATTTTTTTTATTTTTATTTTTTATTTTTATATTATATTTATTGTATGAACGGCAATGCTTAGTTATAATTGTTTCCGTTTGATTCTCCATCCGTTTTATGTTAATTGTGATATTCTTTCACATGCTAGCAGAACATTTACTTTGATATAAAGTTGAATTTTGATTTTTGTGACCAGGTTGTGTTGAATATTTCCTTTTAATTTTTTGATGTAAATTGGATCATGCTCTTTTTAAAGCACCAAGACCGGATTTTCTTTTGTGTGTTTTCAACATTAATATATTTTATGTTCTTATCATCTCATATTAATGAAAATTCTGCATTCTTATAAATGTTTTGTGCCATAGATTTATAGTTATTAGTTAGTTGTCTTATGCAAACTGCACAGGTGCACAACTATTTATTGGTGATGATAAAAATTTATAGTTATTAGTTATTTGTCTTAAGCACACTGCACAGGCGCATAATTATTTATTGGTGGTGATAGATTTATAGTTATTAATTAGTTGTCTTATGCACACTGTACAGGCGCACAATTATTTGTTGGTGGTAATAAATTTATAGTTATTTTTAGTTGTCTTATGCACAATGCACAAGCGCACAATTATATTAGCGATAGAATTTGAAGACATCGTGTGAAAATTCCGCACTCTTATAATTTTTTTTGCGCGTGTGAAACTTAAGAGCCTCACATTTGAAAGTTCACCTAGGGCATCTCAAAATATTTGAAATCTCAGGGCCGGCCCTGAGGCTTTGCTCAACTGCCCACTGCGATCTCCTCCACCGGCGAGAAGAGAAGTTCCTCCACCACTTTCTCTCTCCTCCAGGTTTTTTCTTTCTCTCATTTCTCTTTTAGTCTTTCCTCTCCTTCAGCCATTTCTGATCTCTCCCACTTTCTCTTACTTCATGCACAATCCACCACCACCACCCACCCAACCACCACGTCACCCTTACCACCACCACTATTCTCAGCTGCCACCGTTTACCTTAAACTATTTGTCTTTGTTAGTTTGTAAGGTGGTATGATAAAATGAATTACTTGTCATGTAATTGCATTTTTAATTTATGAACAAATTAGTGATTACATTCATAGTTTGTGGATAAATGAGCAAAAATCATTTTTTTATATATAAATTGCGTATCGTTGTGTGTGTATATATATATATATTTGTGATTTGCCGTTTCCCGATAGTGTGTCTTACGCTTTCTCCCGTGTGAGCCGTGTTCACATCCGTGCTTCATAGCCTATTTGCCATTGTCACAGCATATGAACTATGTTGTGCATAGGAATTGCATCACACAAAATCTAGGTTTCCAAATTCAGTAGAAGTAAAATTCAATATCAAATCCAATAAAGTGTGGAGACACAGTTTCAATGTTACTCGTAATACGAAATGGAGCTTCAGTGTGACTTGTCCTGTGAAATTAAGGGAGGAAATGGTGTTTGGAAATCGCATGTGAACAATATATTGCGGAAATGGTGTTTGGAATCATATGTGAACAATATATTGTGGAAATGGTTATAAGTGCTCAAGATGAAAGAAACTGGACTTTGATAATCTCTTCTGATATCCTTTTTGTTTTCTGTTTTTATATTGACTTAACTGTTTCTGTAAATAAAAAAATGCTATAAGCTTTTATTTTTTCTTCAAGACCTGGAATTAGAGTTGGATGGCAAAAAAGAATTCATGTATTGAACCTAGAAATTTAGAATTAAGCTCCATTGAGTTGAAACACATTGTTTATAAATGGATTATTCGTTGCTTTAGTGTGCAAGACGAATCAGATTATCAGAAGCAGTGTTGGGTTCACAAAAAAGCCTGTACCTGTTGTTTTTATGAGTCAACTTTGGAGCCCTTATAAAGCATATAAAAGAAACAAACTGCATTGCAGCCTCTGCTCTCTCTCTCTCTCTCTCTCTCTCTCTCTCACACACACACACACACACACACACATTTTTAAAATTCGTTGTTTTGTTCCCCTCAAAATCTTCCTTCATGTTCCTTTTTTAAATTCAATTTTGACTGGGAGAATTTTAATTGAAGTCTCAGTATTACCTTATGGTAAATGCACATTGATTAAAATTTCTTGCATTGAATCATTTGTTGTTTTAATTCTTCAGACATTAAAAGCTATTTGAGCTGAAAAAGGAAAAAATTGGTAAAGTAGCCTGAACAATTTAAGCTCAAGAGTGACTTATCAATAAATAAATAAAAGTTTAAGCTCTAGAGTCCTGAATTTGAAAATTTGATAAATCAACACACACACACATTTAACATTCTTTGATTAAAGTTACCAAATTGTTTTTTTTATTTTTTATTTTGAATCACAAGGAGAAATTTGGTTATTCTTGATCATGTAATTGATTATTTACAGACTACAGTAATTTTATTGATGAGTTGATTATTTACAATAATTAAACATTTTGTTATATGTATTTATGATAAATGAACATATGATATACATTTTAATAATCTTCAATCATTATTACTCTCAAGGAATAAATTGATCTTTATGTACCTATTGTAACTAAATTAATTCATCCTTGTGATTTCATTTCAGCGTTTGACGGTATCGTTCCTATATGTGTGTGTTTTTGGTGCAATTACTGTAACTTTATGCACACGATAAGCTTATTTCTTTGATGTTTTATTGGGAGTGTAGGTGCTAAATAAAGAGAAGACATGAATGCATTTAAGGCTTACAAAGCATGCGTCCCAATTGCTTGGAGTCCCAAACTTTACATAACCTTGGTGAGGGGAATTCCAGGAACCAGGAGACTTCACAGGCGTACCTTAGACGCATTACGGCTTCGCAAGTGCAATCGAACTGTCATGCAAGGGAACACTCCTAGTATCAGAGGAATGCTTCAACAGGTAATAAGCTTGCAATAAGTGAGCGTATGAATCAATTGCCTGTTAAATAACTTATTGAAAAAAATTATTCTTGGCACAAAAAATTGCCTGATTTTGGTTACTACATTTTTACTTTCCGATGTTCCCTTAGGTTAAGAGATTGATTGTGATTGAGACTGAAGAGATGTATCAAGCCCGTAAACAAAAGCATGCAGACCACCGAGCTGTACGTCCTGCATTGGTGGTGAACCACACCCCTTTCCCAGCAAGTGATTCTTCGCAGCAACCTACGTAATTTTTCTGAGGTTAGCTCCAAACCGGTAGAGTGAACTGAAATCATGCACCTTTGTTGCTCATGCATTGTCTATGATTTATTTATTTTTGGCTGGAGTATCCATCTTTTGTGTGTGATGACTGGTTATGATTAAACAGCACTGGTTATTTCTCCATCTCTCTTTTTCCTCTTTAAATGTGATAAGTTAGTACTGTTAGTGGAATGTACCTTATAATTTTTTTTCCTTTCTTTTATTCAATGAAAAATCAATCATGGTCAATATGTTCTTTCTGATTATCTCAGAAATCCACTCTATGGTTAGAAGTTGCATTCCACTTTCATGTCTTTGCAATTGAGTTGTATTCTGAGGAAATGAAGCATTAAGAAGTAAGGGAAAACATCTGTAGCACAAACTTGGTTCACTCATCCATTTAAAAATTATAGGTCAAAGGTGCTAAGCTGTTTGTTTTATAATTGATGACATCTATTTCTGTCCTCACTGAAATTCCATGGACAATTTCAGTTTGGCATTTGATGTTTAGAAAAACGAGTAGCTTTTGGATTTGTGTTTTTATAATTACCTTTAAAAATGAGCATTTTCATATTTTACAAAAAAATTAAAAATATGAATATTGAGCATTTCCATAATTACCTTTGAGGCTTTGATTTAGTCATCCAATTCAAAGATCATAGGTTACAGGTCATACTAAGCTGTTCATTTTCCAACTAATGTCATCTATTTTCGATCTTGCTTATGGTTCCATCATCCATGAACCATCTCAATTTGGCATTTGATGCTTAGAAAAAGTAGCTGCTTTTGGGTTAATGCTAGTATAATTATCTTTAAAACTGAGCACTGACATATTTTACTAAAAATATGAACATTGAACATTTAATTTGTTGTCATATGCTTGACATTTACACACACACACACGCACACATGCATGATTGCCGTCATTGATGAACCTTTATCTTTCTTTCTTTTTTCCTCTCTTCTTTTAGGAGTTTAAATATCTGAGCATGAGAAGAAATGTATCTAGAGCTGATGCAGTTAAACTGTAGCAGCAGTTAAACTGTAGCTGGAGGTTATCCCAATCCTTTCTGAGCTGAACAATTCCATTAGATAGATATGTTCATGGTTATCATGTTATTTGCAGTGGAATGCTTTTCTATTTTTGCATAAAGTGAAGGACGAATCAGCTGTTTCTAGAATTACATAAAATATTATTAAAACTTTCTAGTTTTGGCAGTCCTAGTCATCCTATTAAAGTAGTTGATCATGTGCATCTTGTCTATCTAAGATTTTGAACTATTAAAGTAGTTGATCATATACTTTATGTCTATCTAAGATTTTGAACTTTTTAAAGCTATAGAAGTTGAGCAGAAGCAGTTCAATGACCTTAGTATGTAGCTTCCGTGGGCAGAATTACTTATGCATACAGTTTTTAGCATTAGTTTAAACGCGATAGAACATGACGAAGCTCAATTCATTAGTGCCAAGCCCACGCATGAATAATGTGTGCATTCATGACCTGGGAAACCTATGATAGGTTTTGTTCATTGAATGATAAATAACACTGCAGCCAAATGCCCCTGTATAAAGCATCTGGTTGTTTGGATAAACAACTCAATCCCAAATTGAAATTTTAACACCTTGATTACTTTTTATAAATATTGAATCGAATCTTGTGGTACAAGATGCTGCAATGATTCTCCATAAATGCCAGTGGTCTGAAAATTATTCTACATTCTAATATTTTACAAAAAAGTAGGAATATATTTATCTTCTGAGAGCATGTGGACCTTTATAACTCTTTTCTTTCAAGACAGTAAAAATAATATAGAACTTAAACATATTTGTGACTAAAATAATAGTAGCAAATAACTGAAGGCGTGTGTTTTAGGGCCCTTCCTTTAAATCAGCAGTTCCTTTCTTATCCATATCTTCAATTGGCTTGTCAGTCCAACTCTCGAGCTCCTTCTCCTTATCATCACAGCGCTGAACCTTGTATTGATGTCTCATTGAGAAGAAAAGAAAAACCGAGAAATTCAACACTTCTAACACTGCAAGCATCCAATAAAAGTTATCCAGCCTCCCGTAATTCAAATTGCTCTTAAGCCAGCTCTTGTTCGTCACTTTATCCACCAAAGTCACCAGCAAACTACTCACAAAGTACCCCATTGAGAGGGTGGTTAGGAAAAACCCTGTGCTCATGGATTTCATCCTCTCTGGTGCCTCTCTGATGAAAAACTCGAGCTGACCAACATAAGCAAAAGCTTCCCCTGCACCCACTAGGAAGAACTGAGGGACTAGCCAGAAAGCACTAATGATATTCTGTTGAACAGCTGTGTCCCTCCTTTGCTTCTCAACAATAGCAGAGGCTGCCATACCAATTATTGCGAAAATAAGTCCAATTCCAATCCTCTGAAGGCTTGTGAGTCCTTGGGCATTGTGGGTGATTTTTCGAGCAAAGGGAACAAAGAGACGTTCATTTAGGGAAGTGAATAGAAGAATGGTAATGAAGAGGAAGAAGGAGAGAGAGCCTGAAGGGACAACAAATGAGCCAATGTGTCGGTTCATGAAGGTAGCTTGCTCAATGGTGAAGGTTGTCATCTGAGAGTAGCTTGTCCAGAAGAGGATACACGTGGACCATATGGGGATTAGCTTTATTACCATTTTCACCTCTTCAACTTCGGTAACAGTTGAAACCATCCAAGGGTCGTTTTTCTTCCCACTGTTGTCAGCTCTATCATCATCCAGGATTGCAGCCTTGTCAAGACACCTACTCTACCACATCCACATATAGAAAGGAGCTTGTTAATACCTAGTCTATTATTCATACTGATATGTTAGTTTCTAAGAAACAAAGGCTTGTCATGCTTGTTAGTGTCAGCATGGCAAGTTGTTGATGTCATGTTTCTTCCTAAGCCATGGGGGAATGAATCTCTAGCTGAAGGTTAGAACTCTAGCAGGAATCCAAATGAATGGAAAGAGGTCAATGGAAGACATTTCAGGTGAAATGTTACTCTCCATGCTGAATTCCCACCAAATAACTGATTACTGGTTGCAGCTTGCTTACATGAATAGGAAAAAACTAGGATTCCGGATCCCCATGCAGATTATTAATGCAACACACTACATCTTAGTGGCAACAGATACATAAAAAAGTAGTAGTTGTTGCGTAAGCGATGCAATGTAGTAGTTGCGTAAGCGATGTAATAGGGACATGACACAGCACAGGATGAAGTGGCACAGGAGTGGATCTAGGTTCAAAACGCAGTAGCTTCAACTGCACAAATCAACGGATGCAAAGCACACTATTATACTGTTTATTTGTTTCCAAGTCATATTTACCTGTATCTCTGCGTATGTGAGACTTTGGCATTGTGGTACTCATTCAACAAACTGGGATGAGAAGGATAAGTCTGATTCCTCTTCCTCCAAGCCAAGAGCAACACCCTCCATATCACAGTCAAAGGGCTTCCCCTAGGCTTCCTGAATCGGTACAAACGCGTCCCACAGATCAATATAGAAACTGCTATTATCATCGTCGCTGCTGATAACCCGTATCCCCATCCTCTTCCCACATTATCTTGGATGTACACCAGTACTGTTACAGAAAATAAAGAACCCAGGCTAATGCAGAAATAAAACCTGTTGAAGAAGTATACCATGGCCTTCTGTTCCTTGGGATTTGTGGTTTCAAATTGGTCAGATCCAAAACCTGAGACGTTCGACTTTATCCCGCCCCCACCCAGGGCTATGGTGTAGAGAGCAGCATAGAGCAAACCTAGTAGCCGGCCGTTGGCCTGGACACACGCCTCTTTACTTGAGTCCCTGCAGGGAGGGGGTTTCAAGGAAGAAATGGTTGTGGCCAATGTCAACAATGTCACTCCCTGTTGCAACACAAATATCAACACCAATTCCTTTTTCTATTTACACTTTGTCACATTTTTCTATATATAAGATTAGCTTTATGGACATGTGATCGATCGTCACACCATTTGTGATTTTTGACGTTAAGACAACCAGTAGATGATTTTTTCTACCATATGCTTGGGAACTTGCAGTACTGTTTGTATATTTTTTTTATTTAATTTTAGAGAACAGTAAACAAGATGATATATTCTCAATTCAATTCATAAACAACATTTATAGAAAACCATTTACATGTATGAATATCAAGAAAGCTAACATGAAGAAAATAAGGTCAGTAGGAGAAAATCATACAGAGCAATTTTAAAAGAGTGAAAAAAATTTATAACTCGTTAGTAGGAGGCACTAAAGCCTGCCTTTGTAACTTTCTTACGTAGTAAATGCATCATGTTCATGTCGTGGTAACATTACTGACATCTAAACTTCCCTAAACACCGCAATAGCAACATGTTCATGTCGTGGTAACATAGCAGGAGTGGTGAGAGTCTCGTGCCTTAAGCTAATTATTTTTATTTTATTTTCACTTGGGTTCTAAGAAAGGAACGACAATGAAAGACTAGTGTTGGGAATGTGTAAACTTCGTCATATACTTCATCTGTTGAACTAGTCAAAAATTTATAGCTCTGGTGTCATGTCAGTTTAGCAAAAGACAATATATGAAAAGATTTTTTAACTAACCTATGCTATATCTTTACTTGTAATGAAAGGCATTTAAACCAACAAACTTATTTTCTTCTTGTTCTTAAATTTTAAAAATTCTCTAATAATACAATAAGAAAATTTTACCGAGGCTGTAATGGCTGCAGAGATTGCAACGGTCAAGTAACGGCCGAGTTTAGCGTCTGCTAAGAAACCCCCAAGGAGGCCAAGAAGATTGAGAGTGCCCATGAAATTGGTGACGATGTTTGCAGATTTGGACGAGGAAATATGCAAATCTCCTACTAGGTATGTCACCAAATTCATCGATATCCCCATAACACATATCCTCTCGGATAATTCGGTTCCTGCAACAAAAGAATTCTTTTCAGACTGAAGCCACAGCATAAAGATGTACTTAAAACATGTGTTCATGCTACTGAAATGCACCTAGGATGAGGCCTGCGGCAAGCCATCCACCGGTCCGCGACTTATCGGCCGGATTCCCTCTGTAATCTACTACATTTCCATCATTTTCACCACCTTTGTCAACATGGGTATCATCAACCAAAACCTGTTCAAAAAGTGAATCAAAATTTGAAAATGAGAGAAAGAAAAGGACCAACAATTGACAACATGAGCCAAGTTTGATTAGTGCTGTAATTGTTTGGGGTTAATTACCATTGTTGAGAGAGAGATAGAGAGAGAGAGAGAGGGTGGGGGGGTTAATATAGAGCGACAATGCGAAAGAATAATTGAAAAGGGCATAAAGGGAATAATAGATAGAGTTGGCCAGTTCTTGGTCACATGTTCGGGTAGAAAGAAGGAAGATTGGATTTGAGTGATTGAGAATTATGATCGTGTGGTCACGGTGTTTACAGACTAAATTCCAAATAAACTGGAAAGTGACTTTCATCATTCCAAATCTTTCATCTTTATGCCCATTCTTTACTTTGATGGTCCCATTATAAAGCTTCATTTCATAACGTCAATTTTCGAATCTAGTGACCCGTGATCACACATGCCGGGCGGCAAGAGGTGGGATCCTTTTAACATGATAATTTTATCCTTTTCTTTGTATAAAAATTTTATCCTTATTTTGCATAAATGAGGGCATTATTAACTTTTCACACTCAAAATCACCTTTTAATCCTCCGCAAACAGGTTTAGGGAAAGTGCAAGTAATAAACCTTTGAACATTTTATATGTGTAATTTGTTCAAATTTCATAAAAATTAATATAATTTACCCTGTTACCACATCTATCAATTCACATCACTCACGCATTAAAAAAGACGAATATACTCGCCTAATGCTACCTAAATTCTTCTTGAGCCAAGGTGGCCTAATTTGAGATGGGAAATTACTAAAGTGCCCTAGTTTCGAATATTTGTACTGCATCCAACAGTTCACATCACTCATACATGTGAAAGAAAAAAAAATAAAAGGAGGACAAATATTTTAAAACTAGCCTAAACTATCAAATTTTTTGTTCTTTTGTAACAAACTGCCTAATTTTTTTCTTGAGCCATAAGTGGCCTAATTTGTGATGGGAAATTCCTAAACCTAGTAAAAAAAAAAAAATACAGTATATAAAATAGAAATAGGGACTTAAATCAATTACCTATAGCCAATATGACACAGTTTTGTTGAGAATTTTTTTTGCTATGTTACATATTATTTTTGTTTTATTTTTTTCCAGTTTTTTACTAGGAGCATTTTTACATTACAAATTAACGGAGACTTAATGGCCGTATACCAAGAAGGGGGTCATTTTACACGATTTTGGAAGATAATGAGGTTTTTGGCTCAAAAATAATTAAGGTGGGTTTGTTGTAAGAAAAATTAGAAAACGATAGTTTAGGAAACTGAGGGGTAATTTGGCAAAAAGAAGACAGTACAAAGATGTTAATGCCAAATTGAAAGTTCATATAGTATGTTTTATGTGACTTGACGTTATTCTTTGTAATTTACCGTACCCTAAGTGTATTTGCATACAGAAGTCATTATCCAGTATTAAGTAGGGGTGGCAAAGTTTGACTTGACTCGTCAGCACGACTTCGAACACGATGCGAGTTAAAATTTGTGTTGACTTTAAACAAGTTTGGATTATAAACGGGTCAACACGATTAACCCATTTAATTAATCGTGTCGTGTTTGGGTTAAGGAATTCAACTCGTCTAATTCATTTATACTTGTTTAACTATACGTGTCATAACAAATTTCTATTTAAGTTCCAAAATAACTATCTAAACTTGTATCTTATAATTTATTCATTTGTAAATTAGAGATTATTTAGTAATTTGGTTTGATTGAAACTTATATTTTTTTATTATTTAATGTTTCATCAAGTATTATTAATAATTTAAATAATAAAATATTTGATTTTATTAAACATGTCATTAAATTAGCTACACGTATAACTTGTTTAATAAACAGGTCGAGTTAGTGTTGAAAGTTCCTAACACGATTATTAAACGGGTCGGGTTCGGGTTGAGTTGTTTAATAAAATACTCTTAGATCGACACGACACGATTACGACCCACGAATACGAATAAAACAATCTTATAAGAGTAGTGATATTCACACCGAACACTATTGTATAATCAAATAATTTTTATTCAACTATTTATATCAAATACAATTAAGTGAAACGTTTCACTTCTTTACTTATTACATAATTGACTAATCAAAAAAGTAAATCTAACATTCACTGTAACTATTCAGTGTAAAAGTCATTTCGCATCTTATAATTATGTTAAGGCTTGTCCTATTAACCCATCAATACAATCCAAGACATATATGTATATATATATAGTACACAACTTTAAAGTTCAATAATACAAGTTCAGAAGAAAATGAGTATCCCAAATTGTTGAAGCCACTAATAGAAATGTGGATGACAATTGCACTCCTTTTCTCCTTTTGAATGAGGGAATGATTTTGGATACACTCCGCTGCTCACAACTTTTTTCAAACCGAAGATACCTTTTTTTGTTTCAAATTCATAACATTTAGATAACATTGAAGCAATTTTATCATTGCTATGATGTCCTTGTTAACCCGTGAATACTAATCCCACACACTATATATATATATATATATATATAAAGAACTTTAATTTTCAATAATACAAGATCAGAAGAAAATGGTTACTCTAAATTATTGAAGCCACAAGTAGAATTGTGGATGACAGTTGCACTCTTTTCTCCTCTTGAATGAGATAATGTTCTTGGATACACGTTAAACTCACTGCTCATAACTTTTTCAGATTGAAGAGACTTTTTTTTTGTTTCCATATTAAGTGTCAATAGATATATATATATATATATTGACATACAACTTTAAATTTCAATAATGCAAGATTACATGGGAATGATCATCCCAAATTATTGAAGCCACTAATAGAATTGTGGATGAGAATTGCACTACTTTCTCCTTTTGAATGAGATAATGATCTTGGATACCATCACATATTGACTCACTGTGGCTCACAAACCTTTTTGTGATTGAAAATATGTATCATTTCATTTGCATTTCTGGGTGGGGTTGAATCAGAAAAGATTGGCATCAAAGGTGGTCCACAGTCAATAAACCCTTTGATATAGCCATGTTACTCATATTGACAAGTAACTCTAGTAGTAGCAGTTCAACGTCACAAGACAAAACAACAATCATTGTTTGCAATGTATGGTGATAAAATTCGACTTGCCCATTGATCCGTAAATCTATTGATTTGAATTCGACTGGATTACTCTGATGTGAATTGAACAAAAAAATCTATAAATTCGATGACAATCCAAACTTGATAATTCCATTTTTTAACCAATCAGATATAGATTTATGTTAATTCAACTAAATTTATATATATATATATATATATATATATATATATATATATATATATATATATATAATATTCCTGTCAGATTTATATTAGATGTAAATAATAATAATAATAATAATAGTGTGGTATTTTTTTTAAATGATTTTTTTTTCCTTCCATATTTTATTTATCTTTTGTTTTCTATTATTTTTTTCTAATCATTGTTTTTTGTTCTCTTTTTAACATTTTATATATATATATATATATATATATATATATATATATATATATATATATATATATCTGATCAGACCGGATTATCGAATCGGATATCCGTTTATTAACAAATCGGATATGAATTCACTTATAAATAATCTGTTTGATTATTGGATCGAATGAGATCAAGTCAGATTATTTATAAATTTATACACATTCCATTATTTATTAATGGATTATCCAATAATACTTAAGTTACTATAATATTATAAAGTAACTTAGAATATAACACATATCAAATCTATGTATATTTTTATTATTTAAATATAAAACATATACATCAGATTAAATATTACTACCCAAGTTATCATAAAAGTAATTAATAAATTAATTACTTTTATTATTAATATTGTGTAAATTATGTATTGTTAAAATTATTTAGGGTGTGTTCGGTTATATGAAATTAAAGTTTCAGAATTAGAATTTGTGAAATTTGAAAAAAATAATTAAAAAAATTAAAATAAAATTTTTTCAAATTTCACCAATTTTAATTATAAGACCTCAATTTTAAATAGCGGAACACATTAGTGTAATAAATAAATAAATAAAAGAAAATCTCCCCAACAATACCTCCCTCTTCAGTACTATTCAAATACTCAGTCGGTCACTCTGTACCCGAACCGAAATGAATAGCTTTTGCACTGGCAGTACAGTGCCTAAGTCCTTCAGTGGTCACCCAACGTGAACATTAAAGCCCAACAAAATTTCAGTCCTTTGCAATGAAACATTCAATCTTCCGTAAAGTAATGTCATGTCATTCGAGATAAATATTATAAAACATAATTCGTAATTTTTACTATCAATTTAAAAATATATATATTTAGATGCATTTGTTCTTTACTTCTTTTAAATTGTCCAAAGCAAATCAGCATCACAAAATTCAATATCAAATTCATTCAAAAAAGTAGGAAATTGCGTCCCTGAAAGGATTTGAAAAGTGCTGGTATTGACCGAACAAATGCAAATATGAAATGATTGAAAGATGTGAGATGCCGAGCCATTGAAAATTATTTATTCTTACTCTTATGTATTATTCTTTTCGTTTTAAATTAAATGTCGTCTTTGAAAATTAACTTACGTGAGTTACAGTTTTTAAAGACGACACTTATTTTGAAATAAAGGAAATATAACACATATTTTTTTATTTTTAATTTTTACGTATGATGAATGAAAAACATGTTATAACACATCTTCCTAACCTATTTGCATGGATCATAAATCATGATTGTAACCATGAAATTGTGATGGTCACGCATAAAACTTGTTTTATCTTACTAACTAAATTACATTGTATTTCACTTGTCTAGACAGCCTTGAAACACCACATATTATTAGATAAAACCTCGGGACATCAATTCCATATGCTCATTACATCAATTCTTGAATAATGTTACAGTCACGATTTTTGCTCAATTTCAATCACTAGCGTACAACTAAAATTCTTAGTCAATAATAAATAAAAATGAAATGCCTCTTTTATTAAAAGTTTTAAAATCAATGATTTTTTCGTACTACGAATTAAGATAGACTCAGTGCTTACCAAATGTAATGTTTCACAAACTATTGGTGAGCCCCTACCATATATGCTCATCAGATCATATGATGTCACTTTTGTCAATAGATATAGCCATGTTGCTCATATTGACAAGTCGCTCTAGTGGTGGTAGTAGTTCAACATCACAAGACAAAACAACAATAATTGTTTGCTATGTACGGTGATAAAGTTTGGACCGTCTAACATGGAAACATAAAATTCGACTTGCCCATTGATCTCTAATAAGACTAATACTTTCCAATAATTTTTTTTTTTCCCTTCCATCTTTTATTTACCTTTTGTTTTCGATCATCTTTTTCTAATCATTATTTTTTATTCTTTTTTTAACAAATTTCTTTTCTTTTCTTTTCCTTTTTGTAAAAAAAAAAAAATTAACACATTTTTATGATCAGATTGAATTATCGAATCAAATATCCGTTTATTAACAAATCGGATATGAATTCACTTACAAATAATCCATCGGATTATTGAATCAGATCGGATCAGGCTAGATCTGATCCGAATCCGACCAGTTGACAGGTCCAGTGATGGTTTTTAGTCCATAGTATACTTTCATAATTCATTCTTTTTGTTTTGATTGTCCCATAATATTTGTTTCATTTGATCTTTTATCTATGGACAATACTTAGGTTCTCACCACTGAGGATGTATATTATTCTGATGATGTAGACCAATAACATATAAACACGTCCTCTTTAATTATCAAATCAAAAAAGATAATGTGTTTATTTATCACCGGTCCGTAGACTACATATAAATACATCCTTTTTAATTATCAAATCAAAAAAGAGGATGTGTTCATTTATTATTGGTCTACATAGTGTACATCCTCACCAGACATAAGTATTATCCTTTATATATACATTGAGAATGTATACTATTCTGGTGATGTAGACCAATAACATATGTTGTGTATTAATTTATTCTTACTTTATAATTTACCATGTTCAGATGTATGGAATTAGAGTTTCTGGAATTGAAATTGATGGAATTAGAAAAAAAAAAGTCATAAAATTAAACTAAAAATTTCTCTAATTTTGATTCCATGCGGTCAAACACAACCATTGCTGTTCAATTGTATATTTGTTTTAAAGTTGGTTTTCCTCCCTTATAAACTTTGTATCTTTTTTATAGTGTAAATCATATATTAATATTGTGCAAATCACGTACTGTTAAAATTATTTAAGGTATGTTTGAGTGCATGGAATTAGAACCTCATAATTGAAATTTGTAGAATTTGAAAAAAATAAGTAAAAAGATTAAACAAAATATTTTTTAAATTTCACCAATTTTAATTACTAATTTCTAATTCTATACAGCCGAACACATTAATATAATAAATAAATAAATAAAAATTTCCCCAACAAAACCTCCCTCTTCACTCCTATTCAAATACTCTGTCGGTCACTCTGTACCCGAACCGAAATGAATAGCTTTTGCACGGGCAGTACAGTACCAAAGTCCTTCACTGGTCACCCAACGTGAACATTAAAGCCCAACAAAATTTCAGTCCTTTGCAATGAAACATCCAATCTTTCATAAAGTAAATGTCATGTCATTCGAGATAAATATTACAAAACATAATTCGTAATATTTATCAATTTTTTTTAAAAAAATATTTAGCTGCATTTGTTCTTTGAAGTCTTTTAAATTGTCCAAAGCAAATCAGCATTACAAAATTCAATATGAATTTCCTTGAAATAAGTAGGAAATTGCGTACCCGAAAGGATTTGAAAAACTGCCTGTATTGACCCAACAAATGCAAATATGACGGATTGAAAGATGTGAGATGCCAAGCCATTGAAAGTTACTTACTCTTATGTGTTGTAACACATGTTTTTTTTAATTTTAATTTTAATTTATGATGAATGAAAAACATGTTATAACACATCGTACTAACCTATTTGCATCGATGATGACTTTAAGCATGAAATTGTCATTCATGGATGGCCACTCATAAAACATGTTATATCTTACTAACTTAATTGCATTTTATTTCACATGTATAGGCGGCCTTAAACCACCACATATTATTAGATAAAGCCTCGGGACATCAATTCCATATGCTTATCAGATCAATTCTTGAATAATGTTACGATGAATGTTGGATTTTTGCTCAATTTCAATCACTAGCGTTCAACTAAGATTCTTAGTCAATAATAAATAAAAATAGAATGTCTCTCCTCTTAAAGTTTTAAAATCTATTATTTTTTCATACTTTAGATTAAGATAGGTTACCAAACGTAATGTTTCCCCTACCATATGCTCATCAGATCATATAATGTCACATTTGTCGTGACAAAAAAAGGGTATAGAAAATATTTTAATGTTTGAACTTTGAATACAAAGCGGAAGTGGTAAAAAAAAAAAAAAAAAAAAAAAAAAAAGAACTACAAAAACCGAATGGAAGAGGGGTAAATGATTGGGCTTTGGGAGTTTGGACTTCGTTTCACAAACTGAAATTAAATCACATGTTGTTTTTTAATGGGCCTAATGGTTTCCGGGAACATATGCTACGTGATGGGTAAAAGAAGAAAGGCCCAGATTGCATTGGTAGGCCCCCTCGCTCCATCTACTTTTGTTTGAATTCTGTGGGTCCCATAAATTTTATCCATTCTATTGGTCCCAACTCGCAATACGAGGTAAAGCTCGAGAAATTGAAACTTTAACTAAACAAACAAAAAAAAAAAACTCGCAATACGAGGCGGATGCTGAGGCATGACAGGTGTCCAGTTGGGGGGGACACGCGGGCGGGCGAGAAGGGTCTAAAATCAAATGGACTTGGGCATTCCATTTGTATTATGATAAAGAAGTTAAAAGAACGAATCTGTCGTACTTTCTAGTTTTGTATTTTCCAGTCGGAAATTGAGCCGAGCCACTTCACTTTGATCCGATGTGGGCAACCGCCGGATTTCATCAATTGGCTCCTCCAGCGCCGGCGATCTTCACAGCTCGATCGAACCCTAAACTCCTCATATTTGCTACTAACAAATGGACACCAATTCGTTTCGGTCTTTATTCTCTGCCAAAAAGGTTTCGAGTTTCTGCCAAGAAAGAGCAGCTTCCGGAATTACAGACTCCCAAATCAGGTCCTCTTATATATATATATATATACACACACACACATTTAAGTATTTACGTATGTATTATATTGCTAATTTCACCGTCAACTGTGTATCTGTGATCATAAATTTATGGAACTTTGAAGTTGTACTTTGCAGATAGCGAAGATGCATCACTACAAGAAACCGGAGGTGCTGGAATTGATTTGGGATGGTTACCTGCATTTCCTCATGTTTTGGTAGCCTCCATGGCCAATTTCCTCTTTGGATATCACATTGGGTAACTCAAACTCTCTCTCTATATATATACATAAACACAAAAATATATGTTAGAATCAACAGCGTATGTATGTATATAGACACAAGCACACATGTACGGATTGCAGTTGAGGAGTGAAAAGTCCGCAATGCTCGAGTTTGAATACAAACTATTTTACATTGTTTAGGTTTTCAACCCCATTTTGATCTCGGATTCAAGTGATATGAATGAATTGTTTGATTATAGCATAATATTGTAGAGAAATTCAATGAGCTAGTATTTTGATTGTTTGGTTTTGTGCTCTTCACTGATATGGGAAATTTATCCGGAGTGTGATGCAGAGTAATGAATGGTCCTATTGTATCTATTGCTCGAGAGCTTGGTTTTGAAGGAAACTCGATTCTTGAGGGGCTTGTTGTGAGCATATTTATAGGTGGTGCATTCATTGGAAGCATCAGCTCTGGTTCACTGGTTGATAAACTTGGTTGTAGACGCACCCTTCAGGTCGACACGATACCGCTTATTCTTGGCGCAATTTTAAGGTAATTTATATTAAGAATTGGTATATTCATTGTGACATATACATGTGTATCAGCCAAAAGGTGAACTTTTGGTTCATTAATTTTAAAATAGAACCCTGCAAATTGATTTTCTTAAAAATGAATTTGTCAGAGAAAAGAAACGAAAAAAGAAAAAAAGATTATGTTGAATCATTTTATACTGGTTACTGTATTAAATCCTTTCATACTGATATTTAGATACTTCTTTCTGTTGGTGGTTTATGTGCTAGATACTTGTTTGCACATAATCTTCTTGTCAAGTATCAAGTCCTATTTGCACACTTCGACATGTTCAATTTGTAAAATGTATAATAGCAGGTACTGTTCCGTTGTTCCTTAATTGGCTGTCAAAAATAACTCTCTGGTTTTGTCCACACGAGAAAAGGATACTAAAGGTTTGATGAGCACATAGACAATAACTACCAGAAGGAATGGCACATAAGCAAGCTTACCTAAAACAACATATGATAGTGTTCGAATGTCTAGTTTTGATGGAATTGCCCTGTCTAATTGCTGTATCTATGTTGTTATGCGACACACTGATGGTTCCATGTATTCTTGCTTCTGTTATTTGAAAATAGTTTTTTCATACAAAATTTTTGCTTCTGTTATTTGAAAATAGTTTTTTCATACAAAATTTTTCTGATTCCTTTCAAATTTTTACAGTGCACAAGCCCATTCCTTGGATGAAATACTCTTGGGAAGGTTTTTTGTTGGCCTTGGTATTGGTGTGAACACTGTTCTTGTTCCTATTTACATTTCAGAGGTAATAACTGATCTTAATGGTGCTGAATATATAAATTTGGTTTGGTCAGAACTCTAGTTCTTATCTTATACCAGCACATGTATTCTGGAATTTGTATGTTGCTTGTTCAGAATTGCACATTTCTGGTGGGGGTTTAGACTTGGAGGACGGGGGAAATTAATCTCGACATTTTAAATGGTTGGAACTTTAATCTTATCTGTACCTTGTTCCTACTTCGTTTGGGTAAGAGAGGATGGAAAATTTACCAAATTTAAGTCATTAATCATAATGTTTTAGAAATAAAATGCTAAGAAGCCTCTTCAAATGCCAAAAAGTAAGTCACTTCCTAAAAACCTTCATGGACCATAATTGATGCGAACAATTTTTTTTGAACAATCATATTTTCATTCTAAATTCATGAGATTAATTCCACAATATTGAGCCAGCATGTAATTCTTCCTATTTCTCGTTGAATAATATATACCCAATTAAGAAAAAAATTATTTTTTGGTGAAAATTCTGAGAAGCCTACTGAAATGCTGAGTATGTGAGTATGAGTATCTGATATAATGCACAATGTGTGTTGGATTTGCACGTAACAACTATATCACTAAGCTATACTTTCTGCTGCACCCTCATGAAGAGTTTTCGTGGATTGTGAAGTTACCTTCAGAAGGGTTGACAGAACATGCAGTCTAGGTTGGTTGCATTCTGGTAATAAATTAGGTGTTGAAGCTTGTAGTCACAAAATGTCGTGCTGCATCTATTGCACGTTGGAGGCAAAGGTTCTGGTATGTCAATTCTTTGTTTCTATATTAATCTATTCCCCAATGATTGCGTGCAGGTTGCTCCAACAAAATATAGAGGTTCAATGGGGACCTTATGTCAAATTGGCACATGCATTGGAATTATTTCATCACTCTTCATAGGAATTCCCTCTGAAAATGATCCCCACTGGTGAGTCTTCTTACCTTCCATTTTATTTGTGGATGCTTGGGTATTTGATTCTATGCGTCACATATTTCTATTTGCTTCTCTTCATGGTGGATATTAAAGTTATGATTTGTTCTTTGATGTTTTTTTACCACCATATATGAATTGATTCTCAAGAGGTTTTACATTTATTTAATTCCATTGCTAGCTTTCTGGGACCTTATAATTCTGTCCAATAACACATTTATCTCACACATGGAAGATCATGCTAATGGAAAGGCTAAATGCAGCATTTGTTGCCTTCTTTTTAAATTATGCATTATCTACATTGTAATGATTTAATATTCCTATAGATAAAACGAATATAGATGGCAGTAGTAACATTATAACAACATAGCTTGGAACACATGTTTTTGTATTTTGTGGGATGCATCATTTGATTTTCATGTTAGACATCATATTGATCAAAAACATGCTGATTCTTCATTTTGTTGTTGAAGTCTGTATGTTAAACTCTTCATATCAGTGAAGACAAACATATGTTAGTGTCATTACAAGGTACAGAGGCAGCAAGAGAAGCCAACAAGCCAGTGGCTTTGACTTTAGAATAATATGGGTGTAATTTAAAATCTTTTTGACTGAATGAATCACAGTGCATGTTGACATAAGGAGGGTATTAAGCATGTGTTACCTTCTTTTATTATCCAAAAGACTGCTTAAAAATTTCAATTTGTGAAATACTTGTGACTTGTTTGCATCTTTTATTGAAAATATATAGTTACATAAAACTTATGAGACAATGTCAAGATCAATACCGCCTAGTTCATGTTCTGCCTACTTATTCCTTGTCAGTTGGCTTCTTCTTGATCCTTCTGGCCATAGAGCACCTTTAGGAATTTGTCATCTATGTATTCTGGTTTTTAGGTGGAGGATGATGCTCTATATTGCAAGTGTCCCCGGTTTTCTTCTGATAATTGGTATGCAGTTTGCTGTAGACAGCCCCCGCTGGCTATGTAAGGTAGAACTCTTTTTCATTTTCAATGAATAATCTATAATTGCTTCTTGTGTATTTTTTTTCAAATCGGCCATTGTGTTGTTTGTGTAGGTAGGGAGACTAAATGATGCTAAAGAAGTTATTCAAAACCTTTGGGGACCATCTGAAGTCAACAAAGCAATTGAAGAATTTCAGATGGTCAGTAGGAATGATGGTGGTGATTTGGACAGCAGATGGTTGGAACTCTTAGAGGAGCCACACTCTAGAGGTTGTACAAAGGTGGTTTTGGTGTCTTGTGTAATTGGGCCTTACAATTTTTGAACATGATGAACAATAGTTTATGAACATTTCTAGGCATCACTTATATGAACATTTTTTCATTAAAACCACTGCATGTTGACCACTTAAAACTCGAGCCTAATTTCTTTGATAATGGATGGTGGTGAGAAACGCAAGTGACCACAATTTGTTGGAGAACAGTTGGCCTTAGATGAGTTGACGAGAAGTTATGGTAATATGAATTATCGCAATTGTGATTTAACACTCACATTAACCTACCAAATGTTCTCACACGCTCGTGGCAACTTCTCATCTATAGACAAACTACATGCAGGAGGAAGCTACACATAAACATGCAGGTTAATAATTTTCTTCGTGCTTATGTGTTTTGAAGAGACTACTCTAAACATCCCTTAGGAGATAAGGTTATTCACTTTCTCACTTTTTCTTCTATATAAACATGTTGAATATGTTTTTGTTGTTTTCATCAGTTGCCAAGAGTTCTAATTTTTTTCCTTTCTTTTCAATACAACATGTATATCTCAGTTTCAGACACAAGTTTCTTTTATGGTTGCAGTTGCATTCATTGGAGGTGCCCTTTTTGTACTTCAACAGTTTGCTGGGATAAATGGAGTTCTTTATTTTTCATCCTTGACATTCCAAGATGTTGGAATCACAACAAGTGCTTTTGCAAGCCTATATGTTGGACTTACTAACTTTGCAGGTTTGGGATATGATATAAAGATATATGTTGTATTATAAGAGAATAGAAATATGATTCTTGCCTAGAAGCAGTCTCTCATCTGTTGGTAGTCATCTGCAGGCGCGCTTTGTGCTTTGTACTTAATGGATAAGCAAGGGAGGCAGAAGCTTCTAATTGGAAGTTACGTAGGAATGGTGAGGCTTTTTTTTTTTTTTTTTTTTTTGGGGGGGGGGGGGGTGCAAGTGGTGAGTTAGTTGGATGCTCTTTTTCTTTCTTTCTTTTTTTTTTAACCCCTTTTTTTCTTTTTTGTTAAGTGCTGTGTCTGTTGTTGATGAGAGATTGAATTCCTTATTTAGTAGAATAAGTTATTGGAGGGATGCTATAGCATATATCACCATACACTCACTTTAAAGGAGAAGTATAAGAGAGGAGAAACACTGAAACATATAACCTTGCACACACACGATTGAGAAGAATGCAAAGAAATAATAATTCATCTGAGGGAAGCAGATGGTGGGATGAATTTTGTCATTCTGATACTGTCCGTCACTGCATCAAGACAATATATTTTCTTGATATCATAACTTATGAACTAAGCCACAAATTCTGACTTTGTGCAGGCAGTATCGATGTTTTTAATTGTTTATGGTATCAGCTCACCAATAAATGAAGATTTCAGCCACAACTTATCAGTACTGGGAACTCTCCTGTATGCTTTCTTCACTCTACAGCATTCAGATTTGAACTTATTAATACATCTAAGATGTTATTTAAATTGGCTCCTGCACCATGTGTTTCCAGATTCCCTCTCAAGTTACAAGGATTATTATTGAATGAGATGTGTTTGTAAGACATAATTATTAAATTATTTAATTTGTAGCATTGTCATATGTTAGGTATACTGGAAATAGCATGGATCCATTAAATTCCATTTCAGGATTTGACAATATTTTTGGGAGACACTTCCCCCCGCCCTGTATGTCCACTCATTTGTCCTGGTTTCCATCCCTTGTGAAAATGTAGCCACGTTTCAAAGAAAATTTTTGTTTGCCTTCATAGGTTTATTTGAATTTTTATTATTTGTAATGTAATTTATTCCAATTCTTCTGTTTCATGCTTGCATTTGTGTGATTAATTTAAGGATTGCATTAGCAATGAAATGTTAGATTTTATATAGGTATGATATCCTAATGCTTCCTTCTTGTCCATTCATTTGATTGTTGGATACACAATGAAGGAATATTATTGGATTCTCTCTTTCACTATGTATGTTCTCATAGGTACATATTTTCCTTTGCTATTGGAGCTGGTCCTGTAACTGGTCTTATTATACCAGAGCTTAGCAGCAGCAGGACACGCGGGAAGATCATGGGCTTCAGTTTCTCAGTTCATTGGGTACATACAGCAAACCAGTCTCTTAAATACTTAGAAAAAAAAAAAGGATATTATTGCATATTGTCAAATGTTTTTAATACTATAAGCTCATAAGATGTAAATAAACTTGTCTCTTGATGCAACCATTCTAGGTTTGCAATTTTTTGGTGGGTCTATTCTTCCTGGAACTGGTGCAGAAATTTGGTGTTGCTCCAGTTTATGCAAGCTTTGGCGCTGTATCCTTGTTGGCGGCAACATTTTCTTATTACTTTATAGTTGAAACCAAAGGGCGGTCTCTTGAAGAAATTGAGATGTCCTTGAATCCCAATTTACAACTTAAAGATAAGTGATCGCTTGAAAAGGTACTTGCACAAGATGGCTCAATGTGTTTTAAGGGTAGTGGTTTGTCTAAAGTTTTGACTCATGAATACCTTCAAGCATAGTTATGGATTAATTGTGTCCATTTTGTTTCCTATGGCTATGCTAGAAGAACTTTAATACTGTAAATTAAGTTTTTTTTTTTTTTTTTGGTTCCTTAATTTTCTTTTTCTTTGTTAGAATACCATCAATTTTGTACTATTAAACTTTTCTGTTTGTCCATTTCCACTGCCATTGGTGTGTTTTTTTTAAAAAAAAAAATTAGGAAGAGAGGAAGGACAAGTTTTCTTGAACTCTTGTGTCTCAATTCTTTTGCCACCTCAATGTTACTTTATAGTTTGTGCCCTCTATCGGTATAGATCAGAGTGAAAATGTCATTGTTGGTTAGTAGTTAAGTCGGTATTTGTTGGGTGTCAAACTTATGAAGTCATTTTAGTAATTTAAATAAACAACAGAATCCGTAATGGACAAGGAAACAGTACTTCGGATCCAGTCACAAATTCTTGGTCTTAAATTATCATTAACAGTTGTTCTTTACAAAGGTGACAAAGTCTCTCTAAATATTCACTTATTTTAACGGTAATGTTGTGGAAAATAACCGTTATTAGAACACAAAAAGTTGTTCTTATTTTTTTCTACCTTCAATGCTTTGGTATGAAAATATTAGAAAATTTTAAATGTAACAAAGACCCGTTTTTGTTTTTATTTTTATTTTTCTAGTTCACATATTGTGAGCACTCTTATGTGGTGCAAAGTCGTAAATCTGTCAAGGTACTTATTTAGAAAATTTTTTTTTTTTTTTTTTTTTCCTTTGGATCTGAAATCTTCTCATCTCAATTGGGATGTTATCATTGATCACTTTAATTGCTTTCAACTGCTGTATGGAACATCCTTAGCTATTGTAAGTTGGTTACATTGTGGGGGCGGAGTCAGTGGTGACTTTAACTACTTATTGTGGGGCCAAGGGAAGCTCTCGGAAAATTTCAGAACAAAAAACAATTAGGACCAAAGAGGAGAATGAATCATCCGTCTAAATGGAGGAAAAGTTTCAGTTTTTAACTTTTATTTTGTAAATTAAAATCTTAACCTTTTAACGTGCCCACAACGAATTACCATTCTCATGTCCATGACCATAAAGTATATATCTACAAGTTATAGGGACTCCAATATAAATAGCGTCCATCAATAATATAACTTATATCAATCATTTTTCTTCCCGATTTCATTAAGAATATTATGCAATACAAACATAATATATGTAATTAAGAAGCCTCAGATAGTCTATGTGACATCAAATCTGTAATTCAGACGGTAATTCCAACTTTTATAGAACATAATCATCATTGGCTTCACCCTAAATTAACCATTTTTTTTTTTTTTTTACTGTCCCATATTACCATCAGTATATTAGAATATAACTCGCGCCTTATAATCAGAGAATCAAATAAATAAATAAAATAAGCATACATGCATACAGCAACAAAAAAAAAAAAAATGTAATCACATAAACCGGCTCCATGGACGAACTGTTTTTGAACGGTCCACAGATTCCTATCAAAATGCGAAACAAATTATTGATTTTGGTCCGATCATAGCATCGCCGATCAATGCTCATCGGCTATCGGCGACGTGGCATCGAACCTTTTGAATTATAAATATATATATATATACACACACACACAGACTATATAGATGCATACAATAATATACTGGACTAAAAATACATATCCTCAGAGACCTGTTTAAAATCACACACAGTGTAACACCGGACTAACCTTCCCGACCAATCGAAGAAACCCTAAGGCTGAGCGATGGTGGATGGGAAAAGTGAGCGCTGTGCTCCTCTGCTGTTTGGAGTGTCATACGGCACTTCCTATCCATTTGGAGGTTTCTGAAAACCCAAATTACATACAAATAAACTACTCATTCCAAACAAACACCTAAGTCTGACACTAAAACCCTAACCCTAGATCCCGAATAAACCATGACAGACAAAAGGAATGTTGACCATGGCGACTTTATATAGAGAGAGTCGAATCGTAACCCTAGTTCCTTCAACCTTATCTTATCGGCAACAGCTGTTTGGAGTTGGGCCGCAGATTGCAGAGGATTTTGTATAAATGAACCCATGAATAGCCCAGTGCGTTTGAAGTATAGGCCCATTAGATCTGTGTAATATTTTTTAATACATTTAAATTTGCGTCTCAATTCATTTGTCTGATGCCATAAAACATAATTTAATTACGTTGAAATTAAATAAAAAAAACGTTGAAAAGAAATTTTACTATTCTGTATATTTTTTTAAAAAAATTTGATATGTGATTCCAACAAATGTTGAAATTTACAAAAATGTGTTGAAGTTGAATTCAAGCATACTGAAATTTTTTATACCACGTTACAATCGAGAGGAGCTGCAAAGGTTCAAACATCCATTCTAAATCATTAATTTGAACAATTACAATGTTGTTTGAATCGGTCCGGTTTAATTAGAAACAACCTAATCATGGGTCAGGCCCATGGGACTCAGGGAGGGGCAAATGAGTCAATGACAATGGACAGTATCAGCCAATAGAAAAAAATTTCCCTACCGAAAATAATATGTTATCACTGTCATAAACTAATTATATAACTTATCACCAATTGAACATTAGTCCAATAGATCTACCCCGATGGGATAATATATAATATATTTATTCTAAAAGAGAGGAGTTGAGCCTGTGAATTGTGTGTTTCTTGTTAAAGAAAAAAGATAGCAATTTGTGAAATATGAATTTTAAGAGTTTCGTTCCGTCCCAAGATTACTTTATCATAGTCTCTCCTAGAGTATCAGTTCAAAGGTTCTACTCTTATGGATTAAAAACATTCTTTAAAATATGCTTTTACAACTTATCGGATTCGATGTGGGATGCTCCTTTCTGGATCGTTGAAGTTAATTGGGGCAGTAACCGAATACCCCCAAGCTGATTAAAAAAAAAAAAAAAAAATTTGAAATATGTATGTGATTCATCATTCATTTGAGTGCTAACTTATACTCCATATATGATTAATTTTTTTAAAAAAATTGTTTTTGATTACTCCATATATGATTATATCGAATGGATCTAGTGAGTTTTATGGGCGCATTAAATTTTTTATCATAACGAGTAGTTATGAGAACTGTTGTATAATTGTAGTATAGAAAATATTTTTTGTTTTCCGTTCATTGTGAATTTGCGAGGGCCTTACGTCTTAATCACAGCATTTCTTTCGTTATAAAAAAAAAATTTAAAACATTAAAAAAAAAAAAAAAAAGAAAAAAAAAAAGGGAAAGAAATGGAGATTTGAATTTGAGACTGCCGTCCCACAACTATCGTCTCATGAATCTGGAATATTGGTGGAGCGTAGAATAGAAAATGGCGACGGCAAACGATACGAGTTGGGTTGGAAAGAGATCGGTGAGACGCCTGGGAGGGATGTCCGATGCCCTCTCCATCGCTGCTGATCTTGGCTTTTCAGTCCCCCCTCCACCTTCCCAGGTGACCTCTTCTCTCTCTCTCTCTCTCTCTCTCTCTCTCTCTATATATATATATATATATATAAACGTGTGTGGTTTTCTTGTTTTCATCCCACTACCATCGTTTCATGAATCTCCGTATTACTTTGAAATTTTGCCTCGTCCCTAATTTGCTGCTGTTTTTTGTCCGTTTGATCTTGTTCTTTGTCAATTCTCATGTTGATTGTGTTCTTCAATTTTAAATAAAATAAAAAATTATTTCAACAAATGAAATTTCGATATAATAATTCAGTGGTTCTCAACAATAACCAAATGCAGGATTGGGAAAATTAGACTTCTTTTTTTCTATGTAATATTAATTTGTCATGTTGGCTTGATTATAATGCACCAAAAAGCAGGTTGATGAAAATTCGAGGTCTTAACAGTTGATGCAAAATGTCTTTTTTCTTTCCCAACCAGTTTTAACTTGTATGTATTGATAGGTCACTAGATTGTCCGCTTGTTACAGTTGAAGATTGAAATGTTCAATTGCGACATTATGTTGTAGATAGTATCTATTTAAAGTGATGGTAAACAGAGTAATGATAGAAAGAAAACTACCAACTCAAAATGGAATGATATGGAGTGACTAGAGAGAAGTAGAATATTTCAGCATTAAGTACAAGTACGTTAATGGGGATATAGATAACCACTATCTCAATCTTGAGGTGGGATTCGATGCAGTACAGCACAAGCATCCCTACACGGCTCATGTGTGCGAGCCACCGTCCAATGCTTAAAGCACTTGTGCTGTATTGCAAAGGATCCAGACTCCTCAATCTTTTATTCCTTGCTTACAACTTATGCTATATATAACCACACAGTTAAAAAATTTTGAACTTTCTATTATGTTCTGTTTACCTCATTTTGCTTTCAATTTTATCTTCTCTTCTTCTCACATTGAACATTCAAAGTAGTGTGTTAGAGCATAATTAGCTATTGTGGTGCTGGAGAGAGGTTTTGAAGTGGGTGAAGCACCTATCATGTGAGATTCTATCAAATAAGCTAGACTCTAGAGGTGTTGGATTTTTTTTTTTTTCATTTTATAATATTCATTTTCCAAGACAAAAGGATAGGGATTGGTAATGCCTCAAACTTCACTAGGGTTAGGCACTTTATCCATATAAAGTGGTTTAGGTACCTTTAATTTCCCTTAAATGGCTATTTCGTGAACAAAAATGCTCCTCAAGGTTGTTTTTTCTTTTTCTTTTGGGTGGACTGCATGCACCATTGAAGAAGACTATAACTATTGATTTGTGTGTGACAAAACAAAAAATTTCTTCCCAAATGGTGTTCGAAGAGACATTGTAACATCTAGTTTGACTAAAATTGTGACCCTTAATAGAAGGAATGGTAAAGCATGATTCATGTAGTGGACTACAAATAGCTGTGACAAGGCTTAGTTGAGTTGAATATGTGTAATGAAAATATGACATGGAGGAAATAGTGGATCGGTTGTTGAGAGTGTTGAGACATTGTGTAATGGCGAGGGTTTGTGGTCCATTTGTTTTACTTATTCGGGAATCATTTGGTGTTACCTAATCCTTGGGTGTAATGGTGGGTTGTCCTTGCTGGAGAGAGGGGGAGGTGCAGGTAGTGGCACCTTCATATCTCCTTTGATGTATTTTGGACAGCGGAATCGGCAAACCTTTTGAAGGATAGGAAAGGTTGATGCTGGGCTTGAATAAATCATTTTGAGCTCCCTTTGTTTTTGGAATTCGGTGAGTCGTTCTTTTCATTTATTTGGATTATTTTGTAGAAATTTTTTAAGAGATGGGAGTATAGGCATGGACTATTTGCGGTATATTTTTGTTCTTTTTTTTCTTTTTATTTTATGTTGATGTACACACAGTTACACATACCCTTCTTTGCACTTTATCTGGATTTTTTTTTTTTTTTAATGGAAGAATTAATTAATCAACATAGGTGTGTCAAAGAGTGACCTAGTTGGAGGAAGAGAATCTTATCTCAGATGATGGCTCACAACCTGTCTCTGGGAAGCTTGGGCCTTCTTTATACCTAGCTCCTTTACCATTTTGCAGAGTGCGTGGGTATATCATTATTTATATTGAATGAATACTTGAGATGTGTGAACTGTTACTTATGTTTGGAATAGTCAAGATGTCTAAATACTGAATAGTTTCTTTGAAATAATCATTTATTCACTTTTCTTTGTTGAGATTTTTTAGTTTGCCATTATCTGTGAATCTTGTGGTTTTTTTCCCCCTTAATAGGTTAATATGTTAAGTATTCAAGTTAATGAGGCAGTTGCTTTATTTTTTAGTGAATTATAATGTGCGCCTTTGGAAACTTTTAGTTGAGCTCATTTCTTTTGTGCAGGAAGACTTCCAAAACTTAGTTGCCAGTACTGGTGAAAAGGGTGATGAATTGATAAAGGTGTTAAGAGAACTTACCACTGTACAAAGAAAAATAGCAGATTTGCAAGTGGAACTTCAAGGTCGAAAGGTGAAGCAATCAAGATCTAATTCTCTTGCATCTTTTAATTCATTCATACTTCTATGCTGTTTCATTCCTTTGCCTGCCTTCTGTGTACTGCTGAAGTAATCTGATCCACTATTTTTGCAAGGAGATGCTTTCAGAGAAGTATATATAGCATGCTTTCTAGGTCTGGAATGCTCCATGATCTCTTTTACAAACAGTCAAACATATGTATGTGCATGTGCATGTGCTTGTGGTTGTGTGTGCGTGAGGATATCCTTGTGTGCTGAAGTAGCTGGTCAAGTTTTCAGTTTCAGGAGCATTCCCCTGATTTGGTTTAACATAAACTTTTAATGTGGAAAATCTTTAAGATGGATTCCATCCTTTCGTATCCATTCTCATTCCATCTATGTGCCGTCTGCACAAGTGTAGTCCATTCTTGATATCTTTATGGTCAATGCAGTGTGAACCTTAGATATTTTTCGTTGATATTATGTTTTAATACGTGCTTCTTACTTTTAATTTTTGTTCCCCTAAAATATCCTCTTATCCGTCTTTCATACTTTCTTTGCTATATGGTGTAATTTTACTGTATAATTGAGAGTCAATTTTGAGGCCGGGTCACAGCGCAACGGTAAGGTTGCTTTACTAGTTCAAAACAGAAAATAGCCTCTCCATGTGCTGAGGTAAGACTGCATACATCTTACCGTCCCTAGACCTTGCAATGGCGGGAGCCTTGTGCACTAGGCTGCCCCAATTTAAAGTCAATTTTACAACTGCTGAAAGCAAATTACAATGTGATATATGTTGGATGCACCTTATGTAGATATCAATTAGTTATTTTTGTCTCTTCAATTGAGCTTTAAAACTTATTTGGAAGTTCTCACAGGATCAAATATTGTGTTAGATCAATTGAACTTTTTTTATATGGTACTTGTTTAGCTGATTTGCATGTGTGGACATTTTAGGAGGATAGAAATGTAGCACATCTGACTCATGTGAGTGAAATGGAAAAGAAGATTGAGACTTTGGCAAGAATTACTGCTATATTGAAAGATGTTATCCAAAACAAGGTAATTTATTAGGTTTTGACTTTGTCCGTCACTGCATTCTTGATCTTTACTTGAGCAAATTTCATTTTTTAAAAATGATTTGACAAATTTCATTTACTCAGGTTGGAATTCCATGCTTTCATCTTAAATTTTTATGTTTCATTTCTTATTCACACGCATCGAAAATACCTCATTTGACACATTAGCACACTAACCCTGCTTTGCCCCCTTGGATCCAAGAATAAAAAATAATTAACTAGGAGACTTGGTCACGATGCAGATTTGTCAATTGGTCGAGTTTGTGGGGATCCTTTATTATATCATATTCAGTTCTAGATTAGTTATATTAGTTAATGTTGGCACAATATCTTTAACAGTTCTGCTAGCCTTTACAATTACTCTGTATTTCCTTACTAGAGAGTTGTGTAAAGTTGATCTTATAATTTTTTTCATATAATAAAAAAGGAATGTTAATTCTGATTGACCCTACTCAAGAATTTTTTTTGGCTTTGATCATGAGCACGAAGAAGTTTAAATTATTAATTCCTAATCATATGATCTTGCGATACAAGTTTTTTCAGAGTTGATGAATAATGAGTTTTTTGCTCTTCTCCAATCAATAGACTTCTGACCTTGTCTTAACCACTGGATCAAGCATAACCGCTGGAGTTATTACAATTACCTCTAGCGGTTCGTTCAGCATACATTTCAGAACTCAAGTCTTTCTCTTTAATTTAATAAACAAGTTATTCAAAGGAAGAACAGGAGGGTGTAGATCAGTTAGGCTTGGAACTGATTTACCATTCACTGAATAGTTGTGCTGACTAATTTCCTTCAAGCAAGTATCTCATCTCAACTCTAGAAGTATCAACTCGTCTCTCTAGTTTACGGATAGAATTTTTTGTCCCGTGAAAGGCCTAAAAGTGGCAATTATGAAAAAAAACCATTACTGGAAAATCCCATGATTATAAAACAAAATTTGGCCAAATTGCAATACAAACAGTCAGTTAAGAATTCAATTTAATAATTTGTGCGCTGAAAAGATTAGGATTTCTTTTCTCTTATTTTCTACTGATGCAGTACAGTATAGATTCTTTAGTTTTCAGGACTAAATCACGAGAAAAAAAAGCGGTGGATGAAACATTAAATTTGGGGCATACTGGCATAGGGTTAGGGTTTGTGAAAAACTGTATATGGAGCTTTTGGTTCAGTTTTTCCTAGTTGTGGGCGACATTGTAGGAAAAATTATTTCAGCAAACTAGAAAGATGATAGAAAAAAATAGAGAGGAAGGCAGCCTAGTCCACAGTGCTTGTCTGACGTGCACACCAAACTTATAGAAGACACATATATATAACCATTTATTCGAATTTGATATTGTTTTACAGAGATGGTTACTTTTACAGATGCTAGAAATCCTGAAGGCACACATAAGCCTTCAAAACTATCCCACTCAATCTTGTAACAAAGTAGACCTTAATTACATCAATATGGAAAGCTGCTAATGAGTCACTTATCAGCTGGATTGCAACTTAAAGAAAAGACTCCTATTCAACTCAAATAATAACTATTAGGAAGGACTTAAACCCTCCAGTCCCCATGCGCGCGTGCGCGCACAGTGAATTACTTAATTTTGAGGACTATTCATAAGGAACTAGCCAAGGTGTTAATCAAGTCCTTGGGAGATTCAACATTATAACATGACTACTCTTGCAAGTTGAAACCTCTAAGACGAACTCTTTAACTGCCATGTCAAACTTCCACCTGCTTCTAAATGAACTAACTTGATTTTTTCTTTACTCGTCATTCTTTCTGGTAACACAATTAAAATGACTTAGTCACTCTGTGTAACATACTTACTCCATGATGTTCGATCTGTGAAAACAGGACCGCATCATAGCTCGGCTTCAGCAACCATATTCATTAGATTGCATTCCTGTGGAAGCTGAATATCAGGTTGTTTACATAACAGAATTTATAGTTTGTCATTTTTTTTTTTTTTTTTTGGTTATTATTTTACTATGTAATACAAATCTATATACGTGGTAATATTAGTTTCAGCTCCAAAATTTAACTCATTTGAGTCATCCATGCTTGGCACATTTATTATATTATTATTATTTTCTTGGAAAGAATAGGTTCTTTTAAGGTAGAATTTTTTGATTCAATCAGATATTAGAATAGTAATGTTCCTGAGATATGTTCTCATTCACATAATATCATTAGGCTGCTTTTTGAGGTGTTGTTTTAATCTTGGTTTTGGCATTGAATTTTTAGGTCCCAATAAAAGACAATGTGAAATACTAGATAATGAAAAACTGGTAGTCTAGCTTTTTTGGATGGGGTTTGATCCTATGATCAGGGCGTGAATAGAAGGTACAGTCCATGATCTGGATCAGTCATCAGTAAAGGTTGGTTTGCTCTTATAGATAACAAAGATGATATTATCCTATTATTACATCAATGCATGAAAAAGTTTATATTTTTTCTTTTTTTGGTAAAAATGCATTTGGCTAGTTTCTCACAAACAAACAAAAAAAAACCCTTCGGTGAATCTAAGTTCAGATTCATTCACAAAACTATAGGAAAACTGTAGAAATAAAAATTTTGTTTTATTTTTCTTATTTGCCCCAATTATTACAGTGGTTGTTCAGATTTGAGAACCCGCTGCTCCTGCATATACCTGGTTTCGTATATATTTCATAACTTCTTGAAGATTGTACAGAATGTCAATGGCATGTCATTCCATTTAATAAGGTGAATTCTATCGTAAAGGCTTTAATTGAGCAAAATCTTACAGTTTCAGCTTTGTCCACTAGTCACTAATTTTCAAATAATTTTTATGAATGTGTGATCTTCCTGTATTGCCACCTACCAAATAACATCTTTCCACTTCTATTTTTTGAAAATAAAACATCTTCCCACTTCCCAATTTTTCACTATGAAAAAAGTAGAAGAAGAAAGAAATAAGTTATAGAACTAAAGTTGATAATTTCACTCTGAACATGTAGACTGGACTTAAAATGAGGCCATAAAATTTGTTGGTTTTAAATTTCGAAATTGTAGATTAAACTTCAATATTGAAGCTAATTGTCAAAATATTTGAATTTAGTTGAAAGTTAAGACATGCTGCAGAAAATTTACTTGTTATTTTGATACTTTTATCATTTGAAAATATTACATTCCTAATAGATGTGACCTCTCCTTCTTGAGTTTATATACAGAAACAATTTTCTGAACTGCTGATGAAGGCTGCAAGTGATTATGGTGCCTTGACAACTTCTGTTGCAGATTTTCAATGGAGTGTCAACTTCAAGGAACCGCCTTCAGTGTGGGGGGTATGTTTATAGGAATGCTGATATCTTCTTGTGATAAGTTTAGAATCCATATACCATAATATTCTCCTCCAAAGCTCTTAGAGCATTTTTTCTGCTTACTTTTAGGTCTGTTGCCCTGTTCAGTGTCCACTAAATTGACAAAGTATGAATTTGTTTTACTTCTCAGTGTCCACTAAACTCACACTGATAGGATTATGACTCAGTATGAAATTGTTTTTTCTGATATAGAATTAGGTAGTACCTGGAAACCTTATGAAGATAATATTTATATATATTTTTTAAAACACTGTTCAAAGAAATTGAAGGTTAAATATTTTCGTGCCTTGTGAGGTTTCTGAAAATATCACTCTTCTCCTCTGTTGTAATGAACCTTTCTTTGTGGCGGCATCAATATCTGGATGAAAACAGTGGTTTTTTTTTTTTTTTTTTTTTTTTTTCTTTTCAGATTTCCTCTATCTTGTGGTTTCTGTTATTCACTCAATAAATAAAAGGTTATTACATCATAAAATTTCCAAGAAGTTTTGAAAGCTGTAAAACAATTTCATTTGGAATGCCACGAGAAAGAGAATGGGATGGATTCCTTGCCATCTTGGTGACTGTATATTTATATTATGATCTTATATTTAAAACTGAGCGAGGATCTGTTACATGTAGGAAATGCTGCGTCCAATTCCTGTCGCCTTAGCCTCCTGTACCCGATTTTTTGAGGCAATGTCTGCAATGAGAGAATCATTTTCTACACTCCAAAATTTGAGAGTAGCTCATTCTTCTTCCTCCTTGCCTGCAACTCCTGCCGAGAATCCTTCTCAAAGAATGGTAGGGGATTCTGAATACATGACTCCACCTCCTTGGAGAAATAAATCAAGTTTTGATGATTTAGCCATCAGAAACCTCCGAAGGCAAGAAATGGAACAGCAAGAAGAAGATGTAAATAGTGAAGTAGGGGACTCTCATCAGATTGATATGACCCACAGGAGGTTGTCTTGGCCTCCTCCACTCAAAAAGTAGTGGTTTTTAGTCGCGAACCATTGTCACTCGGGTTTTCTTTCTTTTTCTTTCAATTCTATGTCAATGCAATATCTTCAGTGTAACCTGATAATGGTTTGTAGTCGTGAATCGTTGGGGAAAATCTTTTCATTGAACAAACACATCAGTTTGTTCAGTAATATTTTTTTCTTTTTGAAATGTTTGGAGCGACACGATTTGGTATCTCATTCTTATATGCTGCAGTGTATCCTTTTGATGGGTTGTTAATAGCAGGCTCACTTCTTTGTTCAATTTCTGTGCAGTAAGCTTTGAATGGCTTAGGAATTATGCGTCAATGAAGTGATTTTACGGTAACCTACGCTGACATTTATATTTTACCCACCAGGAAAAGAAAAAAATAAAGTTACTACTTTGACATTAACAGATTGACTGACGTGGCATCTGGTCAATGGTGAGATTAGTGTGACTTTGACAAATTCCAACTATTAGTGTGAAATTTTTTATGCATATATCTTGGTTTAGGGGAATATTTCCTTTATAACATCATGATGATTACTTTTCTTCTTTTTTGATCAATTTGTGCACCTTCTTGAAGCTTATGATAAGATCAAAAAAAGCTTTTTTTTTTACTTTTTGTGGAGAAGAAGATGATATTTTTGAACACTCATGCCACAGGTGAACTTGGAGAATCCACTTTAGTGAGTGCTCATGGAACACAGTTTCATTCTTGGGTAGGTAATTCACTAAAACAGAGACTTTGAATCTCTAACCAGCGACGAGATTTCATTAAAATTAATTAATGTCCCGTTCAAACGTATCTACTACTCTTTGTTATTATTATTATTTATTTATTCGTTTTCCCCAAGGTTATGTTTACTTCTTCTTCTTTTACTGTTAAAGTAATGTTAAAAGCGTGGCTAATAAGTGTGAGGAATAAGAACATTTACTTTTTCTTTTCCAAAAATACTTCTGCGGAGATCAAATCATGCTTATGTCATATCTTGGAGATTCGAGAAGAAGGGCTCTGTGCTAAATATTTGGTTATGCCAGTGCTTATTGGCCGTTTTAAATGGGATGTGTTTTATTATATTGTTCAGCGAGTATCTGATCAATTAGCCTCCTGAAAATCTCTATTACTGTCTCCCGCTGGAAAGGAAGTGTTAATCAAAACGGTTTTGGGTGCTTTACCAACCTATGTGATGTCGTGCTTCAAATTAACTCGTAAACTTTGTGTATCTCTTTTGGGGTATGTTCGCCGATTCTGGTGGGCTAAATCGGGAGCTTCTTCGAGTCTTAATTGGGTAGCCTGGGAGTCTTTATGTGAGCCTAAAGAGGATGGGGGTTTAGGTTTTTGATGTTTTGAAGCTTTCAATACAGCTTTGTTGGCTAAACATGGTTTGAACTTTCAGGTTCTTCATCAAGGGCTGGTGTTTAAGCTATTTAAAGTTAAATATTTTTTTCATTGTTCGTTTTTGGAAGCTTCTTTGGGATCAAATCCTTTATGGCCTTGGCGAAGTATTTGGTCTACTCAGTCTCTTATTGTTGCGGGCTCACGGTGGATAGTGGGTAACGGACAATCTATTAATATTTGGTCAGATCGCTGAATTCCAGGGCACTCTTTTCCCATTCCAATGCCGGTACTTTCTGTGGTTCTCCAGTCTGTGGCTGAGCTGTTGGATACTTCGTCTCATGGCTGGAATGTGGCTTTGCTTCATACTTTATTTTCGCCAGCCACTGTTGCTGCAATCCTTAAATATAATTTTAGTTTTTTTTCAAAAGCGGATAGGTTGGCATGGGATTTGGAGTCCAATGATCTGTTTTCGGTAACGTCCGCTTATAAATTGGTTTACAGCTTTTTGGGTCATAGGAGGCTATCATCGATTGTTCCTAGTTCCCCTTCTTCCTATTAGTTTATGTGGGATAGTATATGGTCATGTAAGGTTCCACCAAAATTACAACATTTCCTGTGGAGGTGTTGTAAGCTAACTGTTCCGGTTCGGGAATACTTAGTTAGTCGCGGTCTTGATGTGGATATTCTTTGCCCGCGTTGTGGTTCAGAGGTGGAATCTCTTGAACATTTACTGTTTCAGTGTTTCTTTTCAGTTCAAGTTTGGAAGTTCTCCTCACTTCGTTTTGATTTTTCTGTGGTTTATCCTTCTTCCTTTAATGATTGGTGGTTGGGGTTGGATCAACAGTGGAGGCCAAAGGCGAGTTGGTTCGATGTCTTGGGGTTTGTTACATGTTGTTGTTGGTTTATTTAAAAGGCTCGTAACAAATTTCTGTTTGCTGGGGAAGTTTGGGATGCTCATCGGGTGGTTGGGATGGCGTGTTCATTTTTTTGGGAGTTTAAGGAGGCATCTCATGTTTCACATTGCTATTTGTCCAATGGGCGGGTTGATTCTTCCTCTCGTTCACGATTTTCATCTTCATTATCACAATGGTTGCCTCCCCCTTCAGGTATTGTCAAATGTAACGTTGATGCGTCCTTTTCTCAATCTTCCCAAGTGAGGGGTGGTGGGGTTGTCTTTCGTGATTCCTCAAGTGCTATCTTGAAGGCTGCGGTTTTTGGTCCGTTTCCAGCTTCTACTGCGACGTTGGCTGAGGCTATATGTCTGCTTAAGGCTGTGTTTTGGGCGTTGTCTTTTCAGTTTTGGTTTGAATCTGATTCTTTGGTGGTGGTTAATGCTGTTTTGAATATCGATTCTAGACCACTTGATATTCAGGTCATTTCCTTTGATATTCATGTTGCGCTTCGGAGTTTCTCCTCAACTTGTCTTCGCCATGTTTATAGACATGGCAATGAGGTGGCTCATGCTTTAGCAGCACTATTCAGAGGTCCTATCTCTAGGGATGTTGTTCTTTCGCATGTTCCGTATCATGTTCTTCTTATATTAGCTTGGGATTATCTAGCTTGATATGTGCTGCTTCTCTTTGTTTGCCGGGATAAAAATAAAAAATAAAAAAATAAAAAATAAAAAAAAAACATTTACTTTTTACTCTTTTTCTAATATACATACACAGTAGACAAGAGAAATCAATGTTGTTGGATTGATTTCAAGCCAAGCTGGACTTTGAAAAATATTCTTGGATTTATTGTGCATTATAATTAATATTTGACATAATAATTTTGTATTTAATCTGACAACATTATAATATTCTACGAAATATTGTGCAAGATTAAATCATTCAATCTCTAAGGTGGTTCAACAATGGGCCCACACAAATTTGTCTAGGATTCCAAGAAAACAAACCATACAATAAACCTACAAAAAAAATTAATAATAATAAAATAAAATAGAGATAAAATTATCCAACTTGCATTAGAATTTATGGTGCGTGCTATGCTGGACTCCTATCTTTCATTTTCTCTGACACACTTTCACCAGTTCCCATATGGTGTTCAAGTGATGATGTTAGCATAGCATGTGCATTCTTATAATAGAGAGAGTTGTTATATCTTTTCCTACTATTTTATTCACACTCCTGATTTTTGCGAACGGCTGATTGGGACCTACCATGATCTCCATGATTTTCGCCTCAGATGTGTCCAAACTCACTTTATATAGGAGTATTATATATATATATATATATATATGTGTGTGTGTGTGTAAAATTTACTTAAATTATGTTCAGCAAGCATATACATATAGGACATCCAATCGGTCAGTACTCCTATCAAGGATAGGTCCCGAAGGGACCCTACCTAGGTGAGTTTCTGGTGCTAACTAAAAAAAAAAAAAAAAAAAGCATATAATTATAGTTTTGGAATTAAAATTGGAGCAAATTACGAATTGGAGAAAATTTTGATAATTTTTTTTAATTCGACCAATTTTAATTCTAAAGTTATAATTTTATGCAACCGAATATAGTCTTACGAAAGATGAACAAATTTTGAAAAAATGAATAAAATGTAAAAATTATGATGTTAAAAAGTGCGAATATTATCAGCTCGAATTTTCTATTAAAACAGCATCGTAGTAGAAAATTATGATTGTTGACATGTAAAACTAATAGGCATGCTCTATGAAATTAAAATTTTATTCTAAGAATATGTTATTTAAATAATTAAATTTAGAGAGGCAGACAAACTTTTTAATATATCAGAGAGGGACTCCATTGAGTCATTGGAAAGGCTGTTTTAGCATTCGGGACACAGTCATGTTAATGGATCAAATTTTGATTTAAATTCGATTTGATTATTCAAATATAAATTAAATAAATAAAAAATCTTTAAATATGTATTAAAGGTATAGTGATTAGAATTTGAATCCGATTTGATTATTCAAATATAGATTGAATTAAAAAAAAATCGTTAAATATGCATTAAAGGTATAGTGATCCTCTGATTAAAATTATATATATATAAATTAATTACATTATAATATATTACATATGTATGTTATATATATTAATTATTTATCATTAAGTTTTTATACATATCTATTAATTATCTATGATATTCGACTTTGATACGAATCAAAATTTGAAAAAATAATTAAGATATGAGTTAGAATCTTCATTTCATAACCGTTATATGAATCCGATAATCAAATAAATAAATATAAGTTATAGCCAAATTACAGGCCTGCCCACACATTGTGCCACATGTCTTCTAATGGCGTGGTATCATGCGGGGATGATACTGACATGGCACCAATGTGTATGGGCCCAATCGACAACAAAAATAGGCATGACTAAAAAATTCAATCATTTTTCGTTGTCTTTGAATGGTAAGAGGTGTGAGGTGTTCCAAAACTCCAATCATTTTCCACCATATCTTGGAAAGTTAAAGGGGTGTGTTATCCATATGGTGCATCTGTGCATTTTAAAGGAAATAAAAACTCGAGTATGAACACCCTTATTTGAGTAAATATGATGTGTTATAATAAATTTATAAAAAAAATTAAATTATTTAAAATTAGAACAAATTATAAATAGTTATTTTATATATTTTGTATAAAAATATATTCCTCAATAACAACTAACCAATGTCATGTCTGGACCAATATAATTTTTACAAATCTTATTAATTTGTTAAAATACTCTTTTGTGTAAAATATACACGATCACGTATAATGTGTAAATTTCACGTTACGTCTATTTTACACAGTCACATCATCGTATTTTCTTTGTCCTCCTTCTTTCTTATTCCATTAACGAATTAACCCTACTATATTAAGTAGGTTTGTAAGTTGTTATCGGGGATATATTTTTACACAAAAGATATAAAATGACCAAAATTAAAAATAAATAATCTAATTTTTTTTTTGTATAAATCTATTATAATACATCATATTTACACAAAAAATATATATACAATATTTAATGGAATAAGAAAGAGAGATGAGAAAAGAAAAAAATACTAAAATAGTTATGTAAAATGCACAATAATTCCTCAATAACAACTAACCAATGTCATGTCTGGACCTATATAATTTTTACAAATGTTATTAATTTACTAAAATACTCTTTTGTGTAAAATATACACGATTACGTATAATGTGTAAATTTCACGTCACGTGTATTTTACACAGTCACATCATCGTATTTTCTTTGTCCTCCTTGTTTCTCATTCCATTAACGAATTAATCCTATTATATTAAGTACGTTTGTAAGTTGTTATCGGGGATATATTTTTACACAAAAAATATAAAATAACCAAAATTAAAAATAAATAATCTAATTTTTTTTGTATAAATCTATTATAATACATCATATTTACACAAAAATTATATAAACAATATTTAATGGAATAAAAAAGAGAAATGAGAAAAAAAAATACTAAAATAGTTATGTAAAATGCACAATAATTTTACATATTAATATGATAATATATCTTAATATATTGCTGCGGCATATGCTCTAACCCATGTAATGTTCATTCTTTTGTCGTTACATGCTCGATCACTCAATACTATAAATATTAATATATGTGTGTGTGTCTATATATATATATATATATATTGTTGTATTGCAAATATCATATCTTTAAAAGTTTTTAGAACTTTCCAAATATTTCCCATCGTCATCTGAAGTGTTGTGTTAAGCACACATCAGTCTAACCATAAGTGGCGTGTGGGGTTGGTGTGGTCCTGCCTCCTGTGGATGAAGAAGTCCTAAAGTGGGCGCACTTCACGCGTACAGCGCATCTTATCCAATTCCCTTCGCGGTTACTGTGTGGAACCGTGTGGAATTTTGAAGTGTTTCTAATTTGACTTGAGGCTTCCAAAAAAAATAATAATAATTGACTTGATACATTAAAAATAAAATGAATTTGGATTCTATTATTTAAAGAGTATAACTTAACTTATATTTAATAATTTAAATTAGATCTAAGAATTAAAAAACAATCATTTCATTTCCACACGTACAAGAAGAATTCGGTTCAATAGATTTTGAGAATATAATGGAATTTAATGTTTAATTTAAGGAAAAAAAAAAACTATAATCTTCTTATTAAAAAAATGAATTGATTTAAAATTATTATTTTGTAATTTGACCAGAGTCGGCCACATAAAATTTTCATTATAATTATTGTCTTAATCTTATATGACAAGGATCGATCACATAAATTATATGTTTTCAATTCTTTATATGATGTGTCATCTTGCATGCTATATTTAATTTGTTAATACTCTAGTCATATGTTAATTTTGGTCGCCTTTGTATCCTATACCTAACTAGTCTCCCTAATAGGTGGTCTCTAGGTCTATGATGTATTTTTTCAAACCATGTAAGTCTAATTTTCTCACCAATAGCATTTAAATTAAGAAATAAAGCTAGTAATAAACTTAAATCTATTCTTTAAGTTTAGATAAATTATATACATTATTACCTTTTGAAATATATATATATATACACACACATTATAAAATAGACATTACAAAAAATATATATTATTAATAATAAGAGTATACTAACTCCATCCAACACAAGATACATAAGTTTAATGGATGCAAGTGGTTTGCCAAACTTAGGCCTTATTTGGCCATCGCTTTTGCGTCTTATTTTTGTGTTGATTTGAAATTGAAATAACGCATGGTTGAGTATATTCAATAGGAATTTATTCTGCTCTTTATTGTTCTTGTTTTGACCGTAAACATGTTTAGTAATTTTTTTTTTATTGCAAAAGTTTTGAAATAAAAATATGGGCTAGTTAAAGAAGTTATTTAAGAGTTTATATATAATCTTTTTGGGTATTGTTTGTTACACTATTTTGTCACTTTCAATTATGGTATTTGTCCTCACTAGTGATATGGACTAATAATAAATCATCATTTCTGTGATTTGATAAGTAGGTATTTACTCATCATATTAAATTTAGTAATCAAATATGGCATCTCATTTATTATTGGGCCACATCACTAGTGAGGATGGTGTAAATCCTACGTATCGTTCCAATTTTTATATGTTTCACTATGAACAAATTCTTGCACCCAAAATTCAAATCTATTTGTGGGTTAACAAACAAGGGATTGGGAGTTAGGGGTGAGTTGATTTATACTTCATCCTAAAACTTTAAAAAAAAAAATTTAGTCAAATATTATTTTTTATTTTTATAACATTACAATTTGTCGCATTGAACTTATAAGAAGTATATCCAATTATACTTGTGGATATATTTGATAATTAATTCCCTACCAATATAACAAAAAAAATTTACTAAATGGAACAATTTTTTGAGGATAGAGTTAGCTACGAAAAAGGTAAAAAATCTAAAATAATAAATATCCACCGTGACAGACAAGGTCAAAGTCCAATGTGGTGGTGTACACCGGTGTTTTATAGACGAAACACACCGAGTAATTTCCTCAGACGCCCGCGTCTCGTTTATTTCCTAGCTTTATTGGCCTTCCGACCTCTGTTCTGTTCTGTGTTCAAAACTATCTGCAAACAAACTGCAAAGACAAGGACGAAGCTGGCAAGAAGATGAGTTGGATCCCGTGCCGAATTTACAAATTTACCCTTTATACTTTCCCCAAACGGAGATCTCTATCTATTCCAGTATCTATCTATCTATCTATCTATCTATAAATTAAATTACGTCCCGTCTCCGATTTAGACGTGTCTTGACGAGAGGAACTTCTCTCTCTCCTCGTCACGCCTTACAATCGAAGGCAATTCTCTTTCATTTCTAAAGAGAGAAATATATATATATATATATACACACAGAGAGATAGAGAGAGGTTTTCTGGTTTTATATCTATCCGTCATACATATATATATGTGTGTGTCTGGTGTAATGCGTATGGTTCCGTCATTCATTCAATTTATATCGATGCGCGTGTCTCGTGTTGTTGTCCGTTGATCAATTGATTTTCAACGTGTCCCTCCGACGCTTCTCTCACTTGGCGGCCCCTTTTTGTTATGAAGTTCGGCGGTGCTTCTCTTGTCGTCTTCGTCTCCTCTTCTTCTTCTCTGTTTCTCTCTCCATTTTCATGGAACTCTCCTGATCAACTCCCAGGTTGGTTCTCTCACCTCATTTCTTCTCTTTCTTTCTATATTGGTTTTGCTCTATAATTTGTTTGATTTTTCTCTCAAATTTTTGCTCTATACTGTTGTGATGAATAATTAAACAGCGGTTAATAATTGAACAGCGGTTTGCGGTGGTTTCGGTGTAAACTTGAGTTATGGCAAAAGGCAACAATGGCGGATGCGTGTTCCCTTTAACAAGTTTGCAAATTGGGTAAGTTTGTTCATCGCCTGCCTTAATTATCTTAATTACGTTTAAATTGATTTATTTTACGGGAAAAAATTGGAAATTGTTCGTTTTCATGTGTTAGGGGTTAACCCTGAACTTTGAATGATGAAGGGAAAAAAAATATCATTAAAATTCATTTCAATTTAAACGTGCATGGAATATATGCGTGAACATTGTAGAATGAATTTGGGGTTGTTGTGGGTAAGGAAATTTAGGCTAACTTATACTCTTTTGTGAATTCTGGAGATTTTGATCCAATGGCGGAAATGTTACAACTTTAATTGGATAATTTCTTTAGTTCATACATATTAAATGGAAGAAGATTGATGATGATACAAAATTGTCAGGACACTGTTGAAAATTTTTGCTTCAGTTTAATGTAAATATTTTCTTATAGCAATCTACTGTATAACAAGTCATAATTTCTAGAAAAATATGGTATGCAGAAGTTTAGTGTCATTAGTCTTGCCTTAAGCCTTAGTCTGGATAGAATAAATATTTTATGTGTGGCTTTGCTTGTAGACAAACTGCTCGTGTTTCTAGTTTGTGTTACTAACCTTGAAAATTGCAAATTTTCTAAAGGGATTGGATGGTGAAAGGTTGTTAGTCAAAACTGATAGCTAGGTAGTATTAATTTACCCACTTTAGTCAATGTTTAATTGAGTATGATCATTGCAAAAAGGTTGAGGAAAGTATTAATGAGTTTTAGACATTGATAATTTCTCTGCAACAAAAAGAAAGTTGTGAACATCAGAAAAATAGCTGCTTGTTTTGGATTCAGTCTGGTATCTGGAATCTGGACAGATGAATGCACCATCAGGGAAGGCTTAATAATAAAAATTGAAGGTGCTACAAGAACATGTACATGAACCAAGCTGGTGGGCAATGATGAGATGGCCACTTAAGTAACAGAGGATTTGACTCTGGATAGAACTGAATGGCCAAAAATGGTTTTTTTACCCGTCCCAGAACCGCTTTCTTAAGTTTAGTCAAACTGAGTTGTAGCTTTACACGTATTTACTTCTTATCTGAAAGCAAGATCAATTTATGCATCCATCAAAGATGTTAAATTTATGGAGGATTGTTAAAATGTCCTATAAGTGGTCCTTTTACTAAAGTTGAGATTTCTGTTATGTTATGCAGGGACTTGCAGTCTTATCTTTCACTTCTTAACCTCTTCCTGGCTCCTGAAACTAACAAATTCTATATCTTGGTGGACAATCGGCCATGGCTCGAAGACTTTGGCTCACGGTCTGCACACATATGGCAATTGATGGTTACCAAGGTTGCAATGAACATCTTTAGTATCAATTTAACTTTCCTATTATAATATATGACTACATAATAAATTGACTTCTCTCTCTTTCTCTCTCCCTATATATATATCTAAAGTCCAGGTCATCCCCCTTTGCAAACACTAAATCAAAGAAGGAGAGAAAGGTGCGTGGAGAATTGTTCGAGTTTAATTCCAGTTCTAAATCAAACACAAGGAAATCAAAACAGCTTGAAAGATGGTTCTCATTGATTGATGCTGCAACATTATCTCGGAAGAGAGCCTTGCTGAGGAATTCTTTAATTTCAAAAAGCAAGTTGCACGGGACCTTATATGGTTTTATTGTCTTTGAAGTTGCATGGAGTGATGTTCGTGGTATCAATTATTTGAATGAACTTCAGGTGTGTTCCTGCATCTCAGTGATCCATATTCCGTTTGCAATTTGATTGTATGGTATGAGTACTTGTGTTCAATGATTTTCATAACTCTTGCAGACTGATACATCTCTGGCCATAGAGGCCAAATGCGTGAAAAGATGGGAATTTGAGAGCATAGCACAAGCTGCAAATTGCATATCTTCATGGTTTCCAGGAACACACTATGAGCAGTTTCTCTTAAAAGAGCATCTGGACTCTGTCATAGGTATTCATTCTAAAGATACTTTTAATTTGATTTGAAAAAGCAGCTCCTTTGATTTTTAATTAGTGTATGGACACGAATGTGACAGATGCTTCAATGTTATCTTTGGGTCTTGAACATGGAAATACTTCAATGTTTAGATATGGAGACACATGGATATCTGTTGTTTATGTGCTTTGTTGTGGGAAAATGAGCGCATGCACTTGCATGCATTCACTTGTATGCATGTGTTTGAGGTGCATGTGGCTCGTTCATGATAACTTAATTCAGATTTGTGTGAACTAGCAGATCAACTTATAAAATAAAATAGAAAGGGCTTTTTTCACTTGTTCATCAAAAGCTTGAGAGTATATTTTGCAACTGCTGCATAATCCCCGAACACATTCAAGCGTGTTCATAGTGTGTAGGATCTCATTAATAAACCATTCAACCAGCCTGCTGTGTCATCATCAGTAAGTCAAGAACCTTTATAAGAATTCCATCTGGTCTTAAATTCCTGTTTTCTTCCTTTACGTATTCCCTTTGACCTCTGCTACTATGATTTTTCTGATGAAACAAGTTTTTAAAACAACTCTTACACCGTTCTCATCGTCCTTTACGGACACTCTCTTCCTTGTCTTTAATACAGTCAACGTAATTTAAGTCTTTATATCTTCCTTTCCACATCCTAGCTGAGTTAAACCTTGTGGTTATGCCTTTTGAGGCATTTGCCTCCTTCCTTTGGGTTGACTTCACAATATAAGCGTCAAAGGAAACTTTAGAACTAGCACATACCTTTGATCTTTTACTTTATCTATTAATAAATAAGGAAACTTTGGTCATTAAAGCATCAAATTTGTCAAATAAGGTTAAGGAATAATTCTATTGTGGCCTCACACTGTAGAAACAAATAGAGACAATGTTTTGGAAGGCGTATGAGGGTTATGTCCTAAAGCTAGCTTTAAAAAAGGTTCTAATAGAACTTTTAAGGACCTTAAAGCTTAGCCTCTAGGTAAGAAATACACATAGTTCTGTTTTGAGCCATACATGAGTAAGGCATATGCTTCCTGGAACAGGTTACAAAAAATTATTGTTCATTGTGACCTCTTTCTACTTTTCTTTCTTTCTTCTTCTTCTTCTTCTTTTTTTTTCGTAAACTCTTTCTTCTTTTTTTCTTTCTGCTTCTCTAAGAAGCACCGACACGTGTGTTTAGCCTAAGGTACCGGTGTCGGACACGGACACGCGTATCCGAGGCTCGGACACTTGTCTGACACCTTAAATCCATGTCTCAATTTTTTATTATTAAAAATTGCAACGGACACGGCTGTGGACACGTCTGGACACGGCTAAAGACACGGCGGTCTGTTGATCAGAGTTCTTTTTTTTTTTTCTTTTTTTCTTTTTAATAACATATAGTACGAGACGATGTATATCGAGTATATATCCAGTATATACATATAATACACACAAGAAAAAGAATATGGAGAGAGATCAGAGTTAACATACAAGTCATTGTATAAATTGTAAAATGATACAATACAACCATATATACATACATAGAATGAAATCTTGGCTCAGATCGTTTGGAGTTGTTTGCCTTGATTTCATCCGATGAGTCGATTCAGGGCCTGTGCTTCAATGAGGTCTTGGTGAGGAAAAGTACGGGAAAGATCCGGAGAAGAAGACCTTTCAAAATGAACAGACGTGTCAATGAAAGAGAGAGAAGTATGGAAAGATATAGAAGTGTCAGATACAAATCTTATCCCTTTTAGTGGTTGTTTGGTTACAAGAATTGCTTTGGATTATTTTGGAATAGAAAGACATTCTTATTCATTTGGGCTTGTACAACTTTATTTTATTTTTAATAAAAATAGTAGGACTTAAATATCATGTTTAATAATATAGATAAAAGAAATTGAACAAAATTTAATTTTATTTATATAAAAATAAATTATATTATTATTTTATTGCCATATCCTTGCCGTGTCCGTGTCCTTTTTTTTTGAGATTTGCCGTATCATCGTATCCGTGTCGTGTTGTACCCGTGTCTCGTGTCTGTGTCCATGCTTCATAGCTTCTTCTATTGTAGAATATGATTGATACATTGTTCTCATTATTATTATTTTTTTATCGCTGTTGTCTCTGTTTGTGAATACATATATATTTCTTTTTACACCTCAAGGCTTATGCCTCACACAGTATGTATGCATATCTTATATGCTATTGCCTTCTGAAACAATATGCCACACATTTCCTGGCATATTTCAGAAGCTACTAAAACTGAGGAGCATTGAAGCTATTTTTAATGTGTTAACGTGTGTTGTGTCAATGACTGTGTGACACATAACTGTTCATGGAGCAGCTGCCTTCCCTGCCTGTGCTTTTTGTGGCACAGATATCTGTGGAAGAAGGGGCTCCCATTTCGTGTATCCTGCCAAGGAATGAAAAGATATTTCCATACAAGAAAAAGGCCAATTAGCTAGTCAACAGTACCTACTGGTATATACATTTTATTTTATTTATTTATTTTTTTTCATTTTTTTTTTTTTTTTTTTTTTTTTTTTTTTGTCTACTTGATGCAAGCTTGTTTGGAAAAAATCCTCTCAATCCACTTTCCCAACTGGTAGGTTTTAATTTTATTAATGCATGCCATTTGATTGCGCCCTGGCACCAGCACTACCTGTGAAATTTTTATTGCAATGAACAGTTTTATTTTAAGCTTTGTGTTTGAAACTTGTACAGGAGAGGTGTTCTATGATGCTCAAGAAAAATTTCCAAAAAGTAATAATGATGATGATGGGAATATCTGCATTGATAATGTGTGTGATGAGGATGAATCTCATTGCTGCCTTGGTAACAGTATTGATCTAAACATAGAAAACAGGACGACAAGTACAGCACACACACCACCACCTCCTGACGGGCCCTATAAGAGAAGAAAAGTAATAAAATCATTTAGTGCTGGAGATGGGGTTGATATATATTCGGAAGAAACACGTCGTGAAAATTTTGATTCGCCAACACATTCTCAGACCTCTTATGCTAGTGACTGTGAAGATGCAGTTGAAGATACTCAGTACAGGGATGTTTTAATTTTGTTTCGGTTTAATGACCGTGATCTGCCATTTAAATTAAGGGAAATAATTATGTCAGATTTGCGATTACTTACATTATTAGAGTCTGGGCTTCCATCCTGGGTTATTTTTCTCCAGTCATACCCAGGGTTTTCCCATCTTTATCGCCCATGGATGTGCCCCCTGGCAAGAGCTCTATATGTGATGATATCTTTTGTCACTGTACTTATTGGATTTTATGATTTATACAAAAATGTCCCAGTTCTCAAGGCCACTGCATCTCGTCTGTGTGGGCCTCTTTTTGCATGGATAGAAACATGGGAGATGGTATCCAGGATTAAGTATCTGGGGACTATGTTATTTCTTCATAATTTTGAGAAGGCGATTACGTGGTTCCTGATGATAACACGTACTATTCGGTCCTTTCTTTCAATCCTCACACAGCCAATGGCAGGGCCGCTTGTGGAGTTCATGGATTTTCTCCTTCCCTTTTGGAATATGTGCATACAAATAGTGGAGAATCTTTATTCTGTCTTTTGGATTGTGATTGGTTCTTTTTTCAGTCTAGTGGAGAACCTAGTTGAAATTGTACTGGTGCCTGTGTGGTTTATCATATCAGTTATTTGGAACACTGGTAGGTTAATCAGCTGAATTGAATTATGCATTGCTGTGTTATTTTTAGGTAGCAACCATACAATTCACAAAACTTATTAACAGAGTGTATTTTTTACTTGTACTGGAATGCAGCAATGTCCGTCATATACCCTATGTTATGGATTGTTTGGGAAATACTCTATACCCCGGTTCGTCTGCTCCTTGGATTGGTCAGTTTAATGGCCTTCATCTATACATGCATATATGATCTGCTTGGAGACATATGGGTGTTTGCAAGTAGCATATTCCAGTTCACTTCAGATGCCCAGGCTGTGAGCGCATATGAGGTTTCCATGTGGCGTTCACTTTGGAATGACCTTTTCTCCCAGGTTGTGTAATTTATATGTTAGAGGTTGTGTAATTTGCAGGTGTTAAATGGTTAAATAAATGGCTTACTCACTGCATTTCTCTTTTCCAGGTTTTTCGTGCTGTCCGGAGCATTTTGAATGGCTTTGTTGCCTTCTTCACAGCCTGCAATAGGCACCGCCTTAGGTATGATTTTTCTATTATTTTGCATTTTACTTGTAGTTTGGTTCTCATATGTACATTTAACTAATTCATTTTTATTCTACAAGTTTATAATTCTTATGCTCTTATTTGATATTCTTCTGACATGACATCATTGATATCATTCTCAAACCCTCAAATTCCCATTCATTCAGTTCTCAACTGAGCTTTTCATAATTCACCCAGTCTGGAACAAGGTTTATTTAGTTATTTTTGGGACAGCTGCTCACTGTGAGCATTTTTTTTGCCCTAGTAAATTGGTCTTATCATAATTTGGCTGCAATGGAATCCAAAAAAATATGAAAAGGTGCTTCAATTTTTTAGCACTTCTGACTTTTACCAACAAAAACACCTCCCTTTTTACTCCAAATATGAACGGTGGAGTCACAGTATTAGCAATGAGGCGCTTTGTTTTCCCACTCAAGAGTTAGGGCGATGGCCTAAAACAAAGTTGGTTAAGCGAGATACGATGGTGTATGGTTGAAGAGATTATGTCACTGTATATAGTGGTAAAGGGGAGTATGATTCATGTAGCTACATCTGTAGTTAGGATAGGCCGCTGTCTCTTGGGTTGGGTTAATGTTGAGTTCATTGTAGATGGCTGTCATGCAAATATTTCTGCCCGCAGTCATGTACCATTAAGTTGTGGAGATTTCTTTTAGTCTTCTTACCATCAGGTCTTTTGAAAATTTGTCTGCCTTTGTTTTGGTTAGGTTAAGTTGAGTTCAATGCAAGGCTCTTTGGTGTACCTAATTGATGGAGATCAGGACATTGCTCATACACATTAATTGCACATGACTCTCTCCTATGCTTGGAAAATGGGCAAGGACAGATAGACTTTGAGTTTTTCTATATATTTTAGGATTATAATAAATAAGTGTTAGCTTTGCAGTATTTACTTTTTAATTAGTATTATGGCTAGGTTTGCCTGTGAATTAGGTCTTCTGTCTTTTAATTTAAGTTGGACTGAGCAAAGCTATTTTACGGCACCAAACATAGGCCAGCTATATGTTTCACTTGCATGGCAACCATTTTTGAATTTTTATGTTTGCAGCAGCTATTTTGGACCATAGGGTTCTTTGTATTGCCTATATATGCATAGACGTATGTATTGAATTAGGTACCTTCGATGACTATTGAATAATATTGAGGCCCCGTTTGGATTGGCTTTTTAAACGCTTTTTTTGGCTTTTGGACTAAAAAGCTATTTTGAGCGGTGTTTGGCAAATTTTTTAGAAGAGCTTTGGGTCCTTGGAAAAGCATTTTAAAGAAGCTAGGGACCCCCAGCGTTTTAAAAAACGCTCTTTTGAAACAACATGGAAAGAGTTTTGGTATTTTAATGAAACTTTTTAAATGACAAGCATATCCTTTTTATTACCTAACAAAAAAAATATAATTCCAAGCGTATCCCTATAAAAGTCCCTTTATTTTTCTTTCCAAACCCTAGTATTACAGATCTCGCCTCTGCATTCTCGCCTCTCTTTCAAAAAGAAAAAGAAAAAATTCGTTACATATCCCCTTCATACTCAAAAGACTAATCTGATAGAGCATTCAACCGGAGGGAAACCCAGAAGAAGATTCTTGTTTGGCTTCTCTTCTTTGTTGTTCAAGCTCCAATAAATCATTAAATTGCAGAATCCTAAGTAAGCCACTAAATGATGAGAACAATATATATATCTATATATATATGCCTGTTGCATTCTGTAATTTGAATATTATTATTATTATTATTATTATTATTTGTGCCTATTCTCAGATTCATTACCATCCATCATATGCTTTTTCCCTTCAATTTTATTTTGTCTCTGTTTTGCTTGTGAAGTTGTGGATGTATATATAGATAATATATGTGTATATATATTATATGATTTACTTGATGATGGTTATGAAAAAAATCTCCAAGGCTAAGGCATAATAAAAGATGGACGACCATTGCCAACAAAATAAAGAAAATAGAATTCCTTCTTTAAAATTTTTTTTTTTTTTCACCTCAAAATTGAATTGGGAAAAAGTGAACTTATATGGAAAGCGTTGTTTTTTGTTTTTTGTTTCCTTCCATTTTTTAATTTATCAAAACACTATAGAAGAAAACAATTACAAAATAAGTCAAATATATATTATGTTGAAAAAAAATAAGGAACGAAAAATAATTTAATAATTGACCGTACGAATAATTTCTTTAGAGTATAATTAATTTTGTTATTTAGATCATTTTATGGGCATCAACATGTGAAAATAATAACTTGGTAGAAGTGGTTTACATTGTAAAAAATAACTTAATTTTGTTATTTAGACCATTGTTTTGGACTTGTTTCATTGGTTTACATGGTAAAAATGCTCATTTGATTGATTTTTTAATGGCATATTAAGACACTGTTACGAAATTTCTTAAAATGCAAAATAGTTTTTGTAGTTTATTTATTTATTTATTATTATTATATATATGGGTATGGCTTATTACAGATAAATTTGATAAATTGAATGAAGGGCAAAATAGTTATGTTAGTAGTAGAAGAGCTTTAGCAAACTTTTTGCCAAACAGATAAAAAAAACTCTTACAGCATTAAAAGCTCTTCTACAATGGAGTTCTCAAACACTAACACATAAGCCAAATAGAAGTAATGGCTTCTACTTCTCTTTTTCTTTGGTGTAAAAGTAGAAGTAAAAGTTATGCCAAACGGGCCCTGAGTATTGAACTATGGATTTCTTTTTCTCTCCTCTCTTCTTCTCTTCTATCTTCTTACTTTCCTCTCTCTTCATGTTCTACATTAGTCACACTACGCATCCTATATCACTTGAACCAGGATGACCTTTTCTCTATAAATTTTTCTACTAGACTTCTTGTAATAGATCATATCCCCATTCACCATAGAACTAATTCCATACGAGCCAACCCTTTGGACATTGCTCAAACACGGTTAGCGTTTAAATATAAATGTTCATTTGGTGTCAAAGTCATTCTAAGCGTGTAAATGCTGGTATGACATATAAAAGTGAGGGATGGCATTAGGTGTTTTATTTTATGCTTGATTATGAAAGATAATTATTTCACTTAAAGGTCATTGAAAAGATCATTATACCTTGATGTTGCTTTTAAACCCTTTTTGTGAAACTTATTAGCATTTGAATTTGACTTTCATTGAAGTGTTATAGAGAAATTTCTAATTGTTAATTTGCAACCTAATTTACCTAAATGAATCATATAATGGGAAGAACCCATTCTCATGAATAGTTCCAGTGCTTTCTTTTCTGTTCTGCCTTTGGACATTGCTCATTTAGTCAATAGATTGCTAACTTATTTTAAATGCAATTGTTTTGCAGCATATATAATCATGTACAGGAGTTCATCCAAAGGCTATTTCACCCAGCCCGGAGATTGCCGTCTGCAGATTCTAGTTATAGAACACGTAAAACTCAAAAATTGGTGAGTTGTCATTTTTTGCAAACATCATTGTATGTTAAAGTTGTTTCATTCACTTAAAGAAGATAGGTGGACTCAATGTGACATAATTATTGATGCTACATACTAGCTCAAAGACATGCCTTCTTCATATCTTGTTCATTATATCAAAAAGTGATAACTTATGATATCCCAACACGATTTATTTCGGTGGTGAATCTTTTTTGCTGACAGTATATGGATTCTAGCCATTTTCCATCTTTTGTGTGGTTTGTTTTTATTCTTATGTAAGAAGTAAATTGCTGCTACTGGAGCTTGTTGGTGAGAGAAAACATTATTATAATTTTGTTTCAATTAATATGGTCCACTTGATTACTAGCCATGGCACATGGGCATAACTTCCTTGATAGAAGAGTGGAAAATAGAATATGTTCCAAGTATTCCTCCAATACTTAGAATTTTCTTACTAAAAAAATTATAAAATGATATTTAAGAAGAGCAAAAAAAAATAACGCCTAAACTAATGATTCCACTGACATCTCCAAACATTTTATAAAATAATTTGTTAACATACTTTTATTGTAAAATATTGTGAAAATGACATCGAATTCTTTTTTTTGTTGTAAAATATAAAAATTAGAGTATTTCAAAGTAATGGTGGTGACTCTATGATGGCATAAATAATCAAAATTTTATAGTGTGAAAGAATTATAGTAGCTTAGGAAATTTCTTATCCCTTCAAAAAGAAGATTTTAAAGAAGTTAGGTTAGGGGACCGGATATTGGCCCCCCCTATGAGAAAGTTTCTGGATTGTGATGCAGTAAGATGGGCACTTCTAAGGAATAAAAGCAAAAGGCAAAGTGAAGGAAGGGGGGAAAATGTAGTCTTAATACAAGTAAAATTTTCTTCTGCCAGCGATAAATATAATACCCGCCTCCTCCCACACCCCTAGGGGCAACGAATTTTCACCAAAACTAACTAGCAGATAGCGTCATATCTAGAATTCTAATGGGGTAACATGCAGAGAATGTACCAGTAGAATCAAGAAAAGAACACCCATATTATTAGCAGTCCAAGAATCAGGTTGCTAGGTGGATGAAACCGTGAAATGGAGTTCACTTAGGCTTCGTTCGGTGTGAAAGAAAAAAATTGGATGGAAGGGAAAGAAGAAGGGGATGGATGAGACATCCCTAGACAAGAGATTATGTTCTTACTGTTTGTTGGGTTTGATGGAAGAGAAGAGAATAAACTCATAATTTATTGTGTTCGTTAGGAGAAAAGGAAAGAGAGTTTTAAATTGTTTTTACCATTATAGTCGTCGCTATTTATAATAATATTGTAATTTACAGAGGATAGTACTGTAAATTTAGGATAGTATTGTAATTCAAAACTTCCATAATAGTACCACTTGTCTTCCCTCCTTTTCCGGGATGAAAATTTGTAGAGGAAGGATGACTCATCCCTCCTATTAGCCTCTCTCTAATTGTCTACTCTCTACCGAACAAAGGAAGTTTGTTCATTCCTTCCTATTTTCTCTTCACCCCCCTTCCTTCATTCCTACCGAACAAAGCGTTACTGTTCTTAAATGTCATCTTAGTTGTTTTTAATCTATCCTTGTTTTTGGTTTTTCTTATTCTTTATTTTTCTATACTCCTTTTTCTGGTTAGTTTGTGGCATTTATTTTAGTCACTAAATGACTGTTAAGGTATTAATACATCATGCTTATGTTTTTTAATAGAAGAATCATCCAGAAAAACGAGCTTTTTATTTTTATTTTTTATTTTTTCTTCCTGTTAATTTGTAATTTGCAATTACTGGCTTCTTTGTCCTCAAACTAGCAAACGGAGATTTCTCCCAAGGGAGGTCTCTGGTTTGTCTAATGCTTAAGGATTCCAGCTTTTAGTAATCATATTTATTCAAATAAAATGGATTCACAGTTGGAGCTTGTGGATGTTGCATGAAATGAAATGCTGTTTCTGTTTTTCATACCACTCAAAAATTAACCTTCATTGTTACTTTGTATTGTTTGATGTTATTGAATTAAGCATTCATGTTGTGAATTTGTTGATTTTACTTCTGCAGTTTGAACCCAGAGGCAGGGAACAAACGCAACAACATATGAATCCAGCAAAAAAAGAGAGATGACAGTGTTGTGGGCAAGGGAGCTTATCTTCAGCAGGAAATACATTTTGGCAAAAGCATAGAGAAATCTAATCACAAATGCAATATAATCAGAACCTGCAAACTGACTTGTAGATATAATACAGCTAACCAAATCTGTAGAACCACCAAACTAACCTAACCTAACCCCATCCCATAGGAAGAGCTTTTTGTCCTCCTGTTTCTCTCTTTTTTCTTTTTTCTGTGTATTCTGCTGCATCTCTTTCGTTCATTTATTTGTTAGTTCTTTTTTTCCTTTCCGACTAGTCTGAGGTTCTGAGCCCCATAATATACATGTAAATTTCATGTGTAAATCTTGAGTGTATCAGTCAACATGTAGTGAATATTGATTTATTTTATTTACAGAAGTTTAGTGTTTTTACTAATACTATTTTGTGATGAGGACTGCTTTGAAAGTCACTTGTCTAACCCATCTCACCCAATGCGGATGAATAAGGTTAACCGTTGTGACCATCTATCAAAATGTGTCATTTAAGCTGCAGTGCACTAAATTAAGCCCTTATGTTTGAAAGCACTGAATGGCCTTGGGTTTGAAATTAAGAAAAATTAAACTCAAAGTTGAAACTAATTTTTTTATTTATTCAAAATTTAAGTTATTGTGTATTTTTATTCCAAATATAGATATGTAGTAATAATCACAGATTCCACCTATCACAAACCACTTAGGAATTACAACAAACCACATGCATTTTGCAATTGGAGTGCAACATGTTTCAATATCAAGCAATGTTATCTCAACTCTCCAATTGGAGACTGGAGTGCAACACTGCAACATCTTGCAGTCATCCATGTGCCAGAATTCAACTACAATACTCATTGGGGCATAAGCTACCGTCAAAAGTTATGATGGCCTGATACAACTATTTATAAATGACGAGAATATGAGCTCTCTACTTATTAACTGCAGGATTAAGACAATTTTTTATACCCATGAACAGTCGAGCAAATTTTCTAATTAATCTCTCAATCCTACGGTCAATAAAGAGAGCTCGAGACTTTTGTCAAGAGGGCTCTCTTGATATCATTGCTTTTGGAATTATTATGGTAAAAACAAACCTATTCAATCGATCTTGTGGACATGTAAAAGATTCAAAATAGATAAATAATATATACTTTAGGAAGCTGATGAAAGAGTAAATTTAGGAAACAAGATAAGCAGCATATGTTTAGGACAACTCCATGGACATAATCTTTACATAATTACCTTCATTGATGTCCACCAAATACTCAAACTAAGGTCAAGAACTTAAATTTTAAGTCTAAAAAGATAAGCAGGACATGATGCATAATATTACTAAATAATTGAGCCGCCAGTTTGGTGCAGCATGGCATCAATCTCATCTCCATCCTCCATTTCTAGCTGAAATGACAAGAAAATTTTTATAAAAAAAAATAATCAGGACAGCATGAAACCTCAGCTTTTATGTGTGTTTTTTAAATTTTTGTGCGTGAGAGAGATACCTCATCAGGAGTCTGCTCCGCTCGAAGACGGCGTCCATCAAACAAGAAGGCAATTGAGTTGAACTCCACTGACTGTCTATCACAATATGCATTCATAAGTTTCTTCAACTGAGTGCTTCTTTTGATCCTGAAAAAAACTTCGTTTCCATCCTACAAGCAAACATCAGTCGGTCAATTCATTACTTCACCAATCATTAGTTCATAATTGATGGTTTACCGGTCAGAGGTGTCCAAAACAAAGGATCAATTATAATAACTCTCATGGGACTAACACGGTGTGAAAAATCATTAGGCTTTTTATTAGAGAAATTATATTTCTTGAAAACATTTGTTGCTTCACCAAGGCAGTGAGAAAAGAGCAGCAACAAACAGGATTCTGGACAATTGTGAATCATAAGGCCAAAAGTGCTGATGGCTAGCAGAAGCCGGGGTGGAAACCATGGATAATGATGAATACACTAGGCCTAAATTGTTCGTAGCAGAGGCTAGATAACTATGAGTAATTATGAACCTGTAAGCACATAACTATTCTTACCGTTCTACAACGATTAAAGCGACTTCATCAAAAAGAACAAAAGCCTGCCCTATTATTTGTCTTCATTAGTAATTATTTAAAGAATATCAGCAAATACATTTTCAAGGGGGTACAAAATGGAATATGCCTATGAATTTTCTAACCAGGAAATTGTACAAGGTTGACACTACACGAAACTATAAGAGTGCTGAGTCTGGTGGAAGCCAGTATTTGGATAGTCCGAATTTAGACTCCAATTCATTCTGCAAACTATAATATTTAGATGGTGAAAAATCTGTCAAAAACTGCCTAAAAAGACATCATCTGTAAATGACAGGAAATAGAACCTAACAGCGCATGTGTCAGAAACTAGCGGCTCATAAAAGTAAGTAGGAAATGGTTGACAAGTCAAACCTATAACGAGCAGATTCAGTAAAATGAATAAGCACGACAAGCCAAATTGACACAGCATGACTACGAACAAAGCTCTTAATCACGTTGTGCAGTCATACAGATGAAGCTTCATTCAACATTTGACCTGTACAAGCAATAATCAAAACCTTTGGACACTACTCCAAAATGAACTAGACCTTCCCCAACTAAAATTCTACAGTTCCTACCAATAAGTGATATTTCTATTCCTACAAATAATTTTGCAAAAAAAAAAAACAAAGAAATGAAGCACAAAGCAGCATAATATCTCAGAAGTAGTTGGATTCCTCTTGATTGAAAAGCCGGCCTCAAGCTTGAGTGATCTGCAGATCCAGGGAAACAATCCTACGCCCTCAGTCAGTGCAGAACAGCATGAAGGCCCCCTGACTTGACTTCCACACTAACTTGACTACCATACCATGTCATTATATCATTCACATTACCAAAAGTATGCACCTTTGATACTAATATTTAGTGGTACAACATGGTTGGCTTTGCCGCATTGGTCAGTTTAGTATCAACCCAGAGCCAAACCAATTTTTATTGGTTCTTGTTCACATTACCTATAACTAATCCACATATCACTGAAATCAAACCAACATAACTCAAGTAAACCTCAATTTGGTTTGAGTTGATTTGGTTCTACAAGGCATAATGATTATTTGGCAAATTCAAAATTGTCTATATAATATCATGGCACAAAAGACATCTACTTGTACAAATTTCTTACTTCACCTACAGATATAACTTTATCTTGCATGTCAGTGTTTTGAGCACCTTCATTCAATGTTCATATCGATCCTCAAACTATATATTTTATTTTATTTTTTATTTGAGTGCTTTAACTCAATGCTTTGTTTGTTCCCTTAGTTTACAACATTTTAAAACCAATCATCAATAATACATCTAAAAAAATAACTCAAGACATACATACATACATACACATACATACATACATATATATATGTTTATATATATAATGTTGATTTTGGGGTTGGGCCGGTTTACCCAAATAATCAAACCTGGAGCAAAAAACAAATTGAAATGGACCTCTTATTTTTTAACCCAAGAACAACCTAAGATATCCACGTACTGGATCAAAATGGATTAAATGTTCTCAGATTATATGGCCAAAGTTGCACCCCTGCTAACATTTACATTTGCCGAGCCCATAGAAAAGAGATTGCTGCCTTGCTACAGTATTAACAAAAAAATGTGTAATATTAGGTGTAGAGGGCCGAGCACTAGTCACTCGACCTAAAAGCTTAAGTTGTCAGGTGTAGTCAATGTGGGACAAGAACTTCTAAAATTCTCCCCACCAGAACAAGCAACGCCCTCGTTACAGTCGAACCAAGCTACCTAACCCAGATCCGAACCATGTGGGCGCTTGGTGTGACACTGGATCAAGGACTTGGCCTAATCTGATACCACTTTTAATGGCTGGGGCACTTGCCATCCAACCCAAAAGCTTAAACTGTTAGATAGAGCTGCCTACCCGCTCTTATAAGTCCAAGACCCTCTCCAGATGGGGAGAGGATGTGGGCAAGAACCTCTAATAGTAGGACACTTGTAGTGTGACTCTACAAATGGCCCCAATCCCAATCAACTCCGTTTCTAAACATTTGCCAACGCCTGTTGGGTGAAACTGACTCACGATGAATACAGCTTCTGCTAAACTTTGCATTCTATAAAAGTCTATTAATTCCAATCCAACATAACATGGATCCAAAGAAAGGGAAGGAGTTTAAGATTGCCTCAAACACAGAAAAAGAAAGGAAAAACAACAATGATAAAATATTCCCCTAGTTACGAAGTACCCCAATCCAATAATTACTAGAAAAATAAATTCCACAACACAACCTCCACCGCCTTCAGAGCCAGGAAATATGGTGGCATCCAGCAATTAAAGTTTCCCCAGGGACCTGAACCAATAATACAATAGAACAATAAATATTATAAATTCTCATTGTTAGTTGTGCAAGTGATATAACCATCAATGTAATTCCTTATTTTCTTTCCTGTATCAAGATGAGGGTTTAACTTCATTGCAATCATACAAAGGTTTTATCTTTCAGGAGAATTTTGATTTTAGAAAAATTTTGTAGACGCGTTTAATCTGAGAAAATAAGCTTTTAGAGAATTCTTCATATATTGCACATTACACATTCTGATTTCTTTTCAAAAGCATAAAGTTTCAGGGTCAAAGTTCACAAAGTACCAAATCCAGATTCCATTTCCATTAAAGAACCAAGATTCCATTTAAAGCCCCAAAGAGTTCCTTCAGTTTTTTTTTTTTTTTAAGGCCCTTTTTTCAACTTTGAATGATAAGAACATATTCATTGTTCTCTGCTTGTGGTGGTGCCAGTGGATATATGTGTATAAGTGGTCAACTTTTTCACTCATACAATGCTCGTAATAGCCACCAATCAACACTGATTGACACTGCTACCATACTTTGGGCTTCATACATAGTTCATACCATGCCATTTTGATCTGGTATTGTACAACAACAGTCTACAGTAAACTGAAATAATTGGGTCAGCATGTCCAGCCCATATATCATCAAGGCTTAATCAACCAACTTCTAAAGTTGTCCTGAATTCTCAGACTGGAGAGTAATAATCCATTGAAGCACATTATACAGTACTATAATGTGTCTTATATGCACACAGCAACTTGTGTTTCTAACAAAACTTTGCAGGAAAACACTCAAATGACTACTAGAAACAAAACCCCTACTAATAAAACAGATTAAAAGGTAAAGAACAAACCGATAACATAAATAGCTAAGAAAAGGCACCACTCAGCAACAAAATTAGAAAACCAAACCCAACATGCAATAGAAATAATTAATTCAGAAATAGTAATAAAATTTAAAAAAAAAAAAGATCAAAATAATTAAATGAAGCATTAACTCAACATGCAATAGAAATTAAAATAATATTCTGAGTGTTAAAAACTAATCAATGATTTACAAAATAAACATAAGGCGCAATAAACTGTAATCACAATAGCAAAGAACATGTAAAAGATTGCGAAACCCTAGCCATTAAATCAGAAACCCTAAAATGAATATCAAACGATTCTACGAAAACTATTCACGAATCACGAACAATCTCTGATGTAACATGCAGATGGATGATTGTTTAGAGAAAGAAGAGGACACAGACCTGACCCTTGACCTTGAGATTGATATGAGCAGCAGATTGATCGCTGGGCTTCTTATCTTCCTCCGCCGCTGGTTGCTGGTTAACGCCCGACATACTCTTCTCTCTCTCGACTCGCTTTCTCTCTCTAGACTCTGTGACCTACCGTGATCGTATGAACCACTGCTATTTCAATACCCTACAATAGTAATGTTGTGGACTCTCTACTCTTGACTTTTTTTAATTGGCTGCAAAATCACGCCACTTTCTTGTCGTTTCGTCGCCCTAAATTGAAAATTTTGTTATTTCATTTGTTCCCATGCTGTATAGATGCAATACAATGAGTAAATTACATTGATCTCCCTGATATTTGAACAAATTACACATGAATAGACTATCGTTTATTATATTGGATTTCAATTAAACTTGTTTACCAAAAAGTGAATCTAAATGTGAAAAACTCATTAATGCTGTTATTTTAATATATTCAATGGAAGGGCAATATTATCATTTTATAAAATTTGTCCAATTAGAGATATTGTTTAAGCACATGTATCAAACTTCGCGTATAATTTGTTCAATTTTTAATAAGTAAAGACTGAATATTTGAATAAAAATACTTCAATCAAGGTATCTATTATGTTACTAGATCATTTTAATACATAAAGATTAAATTTTTGAAATAAAATGAGAGTTTTTAGTTAAACTTATTCGAGTTCCTTTCGACGTCACGAAGTATGTTTTAATGAGTAAAGATTGAATCTTTTGAATAAAATTACTTCAATCAAAGTACCTATTATGTCACTAGACATTTTTAATGACTAAAGATTGAATCTTTAAATGAAAATACTTCAATCAAAGTACCTATCATGTTACTAGACCCTTTTAATGTATAAAGATTGAATTTTTGAATGAAATTGCTTTAATTAAAATACCTATTATGTTATTAGACCTTTTTAATGTATAAAGATTGAATCTTTGAGAGAAAATGAAAGTTTTGAATTTTATTTATTCGAGTTCCGTGTGAAGTCGCGAAACATGTTTTAATGACTAAAGATTGAATCTTTGAATGAAAATACCCCAATCAATGTACTCATTATGTCACTAGACCTTTTTAATGTAGAAAAATGAGAGATTTGAGTTAAACTTATTCGAGTCCTCTTTGACGTCACGAAGAATGTTTTAATGAGTAAAAATTGAGTTTTTGAATGAAATAACCTCAATCAAGATATTTATTATGTCACTAGATCTTTTTAATTTATAAATATGAATATTTGAAAAAAAAAAAATGAGAGTTTTGAGTTTAACTTATTTGAATTCTTATTAGATGAATTGTTTAAGCACATGTATCAAAATTCGTGTATAATTTGTTCAATTTTTATCAAAACTCAGTATAATTTATCTTACCGATGTAATGCTTACAAGCAAAACCATTAAGACAATAAATAAACATTTCATACATAGTGGAATATTGAAATTCAAAGTTGTGGAGGGAAAAAAACTCCCTCCAATAAGAATATTCCACGTCATCACAAATGTAAATCTATCTTCCAAAGGCCCGTCATGCTCAAGCCCGAATTGAGTGTATTTTTAGCCCAAGACCACTGTTATTTGTCTTCCAACCTCCATCAAGGCTGAATCAAGAGGTCATCAGCCCAACTTGTTAATATTTAACATCCGGTCCATTATTCAAGCCCAGCCGGATCAAAGTATGTTCAGCCCAGTTATTCAAGAATGCACAAGTCCTACCAGTTGAAGGATTTACCATAGAAGGAAAATTCTGAGATAGGAAGTTCTGTACAAGGCAAGTTCTATGCATAGAAAATTAGACAATGGAAAGAACTCTATTAGTAAATAATGTTTTTATAGAAAGAATTGGATGACAAGTAACGCGAGTCTTACAATAATTTTACAATCTTTTGTATATAAATAGAGGCTTAGACCTCCAATAAAGGGATCAAGCAATTCTACGCTTATCTTTATACGGTTCTTGTTTATTTTATTTATTTGTTGAATGAGTTGTTTTATTTTTCTTAATCATTATTGGTTGAGCGAAATTTTGCACCTACACTTTGGCGCCGTCTGTGGGAATCGTATAAAAATATACTCCCACTTGTTCTTCAAATCAAATCCTTAGTCGTATTTGGAATGTCAAACGGAGAGTCAGCAATGAATCAACAGATAGAATTGATGCAAAAGATGCGAGAGGAGTTCTTGCACCAATTTGAGACACTCCGGCAAGCAAACGATACGAGTGTCACCCAGATAGCTGCGCTTCAGCAGCAAACTCATACGCTGCACACGGCAATGGCCAGGCTAACGCCACAACCACCACCAGGCGATGCTGCAGCACCACCCCCCACCCAGAATTTACCTCCAGTTCACGAGCCTCCGGCCAACGGGACACCACCCAACGGGGCTCGACCTAATGAGGTTCAGCAACAGCAAGGGACGAGGTCCGAGGCGGTTGCTTCGGATAATCTCCCGCGTCGCACACAGGATGAACAGGCCGAGTCCAGCCATAGGTTTACGGTATGGTCCAATGGCGCTCCAGATGGCGCACGCGTACAAAATGCCTTCGACGAAAAGAAGCTATTAAGAATTCAGACACCAGCCGAGATGGCTAGAGAGCACAAGAACTCCTTGGTCAAGACCCCATTTACTGACGATGTGTACCTTGTGGAGAGACCAAGGAAGTTCACTATGCCATCCTTCACCCAGTTCGATGGGGCAGGAGACCCCTCTCGGCATCTCGATCATTATGCGCAAAAGATGGCACTGGACGATCATAACGATCCGTGGATGTGTAAGGTTTTTCCTACCAGTTTAACCGGAGCAGCGTTAGAATGGTTCAGGAATAGGCCACACAAGTCTATCCCTGATTATGAGACCTTGTGCACTATGTTCTTAGCCCAGTATTGCGGAAATAAGAAGCAGAAGAAAAGTATCGCCAGCCTTTTCACCATAAGGCAAAGGAAGGGAGAAACTCTGCAAGATTTCTTATCCAGGTTTAACATGGAAGCCTCGGAGATAGCAGATTGCCACCCTGCCACGGCAATCGAAACATTTAAGTTGGCAATGATCCAGGGAACCAAGTTTCACACATCATTGATCAAATATTCCCCCCTGGATATGCAGACTTTGAACGCTAGGGCACAAATCTACATTCGGTTGGAGGAAAACGTAGCCCACTGTGCACAGCATGCTACCCTCGTCACAGTGGAAAACAAGTCTCGAGAGAAAGTTACAAGCACAAGGATGCAGAAGATTCCTCATGCCGCCACACAAGTCACCCAAGCCCCTCTCCGTACTACCTGAGAAGAGGAAAAAGGACAGAGGACAGGCTTACCCCTCTCCATACTACCTTAGCGCGCCTGTTCCAAGAGAATAAGACGAGGTTCGCAACTCCTCAGCCCATGAAACAACCCTTGGAGCAGAGGGACAAAGGCAAACATTGTGCCTACCATAGAGACTATGGGCATACCACCAATGACTGCAGGTCCCTTCAGCGACAGGTAGAAAGCATGATAGCAAGAGGAGAGTTGGTGGAGTATCTCGCCACGAAGGAGTACGTAAAACCTCGGGAGGTTAACCCTCGACGGGTAGAGGGCGGTCAGGTAAAGGTTATCCATGCCATACACGGAAGGTCAGAGGATGATGAAGAGTCTAAAGAGTTGTACAGATCCAGGCTGAGAGAGGCTCATAAGTTACGAAGATTGTCTTCGGTAAACACGGTTGCGCCAGGCAGCATCAACATTGGATTCGGTAATAATGATCTGTCTAGAGTCCAGCGCCCGCATGAAGACCCCTTGGTCATCAGCCTCTTAGTGGCGAATTATATGATCAGGAGGGTGCTGATAGATCCGGGAAGTAGCGCCAACATCATTACAAAAGCAGCCTTCGATCAGCTGGGGGTTTCACCATCGTCCATCAGGCCAACTTTCAGCCCTCTAATGGGGTTTGATGGTACTAAGGTGAATCCGCTTGGGGTGATCGATCTATTCGTTACTGCAGCAAAGAGGACTCTGAAGGAGAACTTTGTCGTGACGGAGATTCATCCATCTTATAACCTCATTATGGGGAGAGGTTGGATCCATCGTATGAACGGAGTCCCCTCTACCCTTCATCAAGTAATGAGGTGTTTATCCCCAGATGGCAGGGAGGTCATCGACCTCTGGGGAGACCAGGTTGCTGCAAAAGAATGTTACATGCTAACGCTATATGAAGCAAAGAAGGCGTCGAAATCACCTCAGTCAGAGGCGAATCCTAAAGACGCAATCAAATAGCAGTTACAGTATCCTCTGCCCAAGTATCTCAAGGCAGAGGAAGAAGCCGAGACTGAAGCACCTACCGAGGAGTCCCTCGAAGCTATAGAAGTAGTCCTCGGATACCCTCAGAAAGTCACCTACATTGGCTCATCTTGCACAGCCGAAGAGAAGGAAGCATTGATCAGGGTCATTCGGTGCAATTCGGATGTCTTTGCCTGGGATCACTCGGACATGGTAGGGATCGATCCTACGGTCTCATGCCATAGCTTAAGGGTTAACCCAGAATTCAGGCCAGTCAAGCAGAGGCACCGACAGTTCACACCTGAACGGAATCGCATAATAGCCGAGAAAGTAAATAAACTATTACAAGCAGGATTCATTCGAGAGGTGCAATACCCACAATGGCTCTCAAATGTAGTAGTCGTTCAAAAGAAGAATGGGAAATGGAGGGTATGCGTAGATTATACCAACCTTAACAAAGCTTGCCCAAAAGATAGCTTCCCTCTGCCCAAGATTGATCAAATGGTGGATGCTACGACAGGTTATGAGAGGCTCACATTCCTCGATGCATACTTCGGCTATAATCAGATTCCCATGAATCCTGAAGATGAGGAGAAAACCGCTTTCATCACAGAGACGGGCACTTACTGCTACAGAGTGATGCCCTTCGGTCTAAAGAATGCCGGAGCCACCTACCAGCGACTTGTCAATAAAATTTTCAATAATCTACTGGGGAATACAGTTGAAGCCTATATCGATGACATGGTAGTCAAGAGTATACGGAAAGAGAATCACCCGAAGCACCTCCAGGAGGTCTTTGATACTCTCAAGAGGTACAATATAAAGCTGAACCACACCAAGTGCTCCTTCGCCGTCTCTTCAGGACAGTTCCTCGGGCACATTGTAAATAAAAGAGGAATAGAAGTAAGCCCAGCTCAGGCAA